CCAGCTTAGTTTTATGGTGCTAATTAAACATCTTCCACCGATTCCAACAATTCACATGAACTTCCCGAGGCGTGGAAATTGAAAAGGCAGTTCAAATCTAAAAACCCGGCAAGAGACGCTCACACCTTAACGACTAACGCATACCTCTCAAAACGGTTGCATTCACAAATCTTCGAAATCTCCTGAGTATTAACTTCTATTTAACTAATGAGCTGCATAATTTTAAGGAGCATCACTCCCGCAAAACTCGTCTTTCATCTTTTACCCCATTGCATCGCAATATGAATCGGTCAGCTATGCACGGACAATACATATATCTTGCATTTCAGTGAAGCACTTGTTGAAGTACGCCGTAACCTACTTTATATATTTATCGTAACCTTTCAAAAGGCAGATCTTTTGTTATTAATCGTCTCAAATTTATCCCACTAACGATTGTGACTGTCTGTTTACTGGAATTAAATTGGTTTCACCACAATATTTCATCTTGTAACCTCTACAAATTCTTATCTAAAAATGATGTGTGTCGACCATTCCAACATACGCCTACTTGCAGGTGATTTTCTATATGCCGTGAAATCACCAACAATGATAGGGTGAAAATGCTTCATGCTGACCCAAATATGTATATATCTGCTGCAAACTAGCTAATTGAACCAAATATGAAGAAATGAAAAATATATATGTATCTTTCACTAACACCTACCATCTAGACAATGTTCTCTTCGATCTCACCACTACACATACAATCATTTAGGTGCAGATCAGAAGCAAATTCAACCACTATTGTACAGTGACATTCCTAAAGTGTCTACCTTAACACTAATTTCTTCACAAAACTTCCAACCATTCGAAATTGGCTCAAAATAAATGACCTTGCATCATGTCGTGTCAACCTTGTTACCTTGCCCCGTCGTGGTTGTCTAGTGGCTATGATACTCGGCTGCTGACTCGCAGGTCGTGAGATTGTATACTGGCTGTGGCGGCCGCATTTCCGATGAAGGCGAAAATGCTTTAGGCCCGTGTGCTCGCATTTGGGTGCATGTTAAAGAACCCAAGGTGGCCGAAATTTTCAGAGCTTTTTGCTGCGGCGTCTCTCATAATCATTGGTGGTGTTGGGACGTTAAACCCCACATATCGATCAATCAACCTTGTTGCCTTAGTTGAACTAGTGCAGAATTTTGCATTCACCGTATTTAACAAAACAGTCAACACAAGTATAACCTAAATGAACGCCTAATCTGACACATAATCCATTGGCTAACATCCAGGGTCACCAGATTTTAGTAGGTGTCACCAATTAGGCAACTCTTTAGAACAGTAGCTACAGAGCGAAAAAAGGTGTAGTTCGTTTCTCATTGGCTACTTTATTTTCGCATTGACTTTGAGCCAACTTAGCAATATCTCGTGACGTCAGAGCAGCTGGTGTTCGAGTACGTGGTGTCGGAACGCGTCGGCTGAAGCATGTTTGAAAAAATTTGGCACTTGCATTACATGAAGAATAAAGTTCAATGAAAATTCTGGCTTAAAATATAGACGTTTATAAAGAGCCAGTCAAGGAGGCCTGGCTCCCCAAAACAATCAACTCAAGTGTATATAGGACCTGAAAGCATAATCTGCACGCGTTCGCATCAGCTTCACAACCAGTAGCCTCCCATCACTCCTTGGCGGACGCCTCAACCACATGCCTCAACCATACCGCAATGAAAAGCACGCCTGTGTGATCCAAGTGGGCATTTAAAACTGTTTTATAATGCTTACTGCAAGCACAGTTGTCAAACATCCACAACAGTGCGATTCTCCCTTTTGCGACGTAGCGAAGTACACGCTATATGTGTACGTGAGGAAACAGGCGAACTTGCGCATCTGTTCGCATTGTTAATTCTTATGCTTTGGTGGTAATTGAACGTCGGTGAGCCTTGTAACGGGTTTATACCGCCAACTCGTGGTGTAGTTGACATGCCTTGAGACCTGGCGCAATTCCACGCTTTTTACATGCAACATTTCATGCGTAAGGAGTAAAACATAAGTTCACAAAACCAGCACTTCATCAGCTTGCTTCACGGAAGGCCCGAATCCGATGCACACTTGAACCGAATACTATAATTATTTGTATTTATCTCCACTTCTCGCTCATCGACAACGTTGATTTTTCTCTCACAACGAACAAGTCCGTGGCCAGGATCTCTGCTAACGAACTCCGTAATTCTAAAGCACTGAAAGGCTTTTGAATACGGGTTTGTTACTTTGGGAGAAATGTTGCATGGGGCTTCATTTTTCCGACCACCTATTGCTGAACGCGACTTTCAGCCATAATTGTAGAGTGAATCAACATGAAAATAAATGAAGTTCCCAACCCTGGGCGCTCTACACTCATTACCATTAAAAATCGAACATCCCACGAACTGTTCGTGTAAATTTTGTTGCATTTAACTATAGCCTGTGACTTTGAAATCTTAACTGCTCCAAATTCGTCGTCACGAAAAAGAATGGTTGCTGCAGTGACTACAATTTACGCCTGAATCCTCGAGACTACAGTATTGAGCCCACTCACGCCGTAAACGCATTCTAATTATGAGTACTTCGAGTCCTCTAAGAAAAGCCATGGAAGATGCGTGACGAGAACCATTTTTGCAATAGTGCTAGAAATGTTGTCATCCCATATAATTTAATTGCCAAATTCAAAAAATTGTGGTTAAATCTCAGCAATCTGACTTAAAATGTTCGTGCGTCACTTATTTTCGCTGAAAGCATTTTGCACTTGGTCATTTGGGCAAGTCGTTTTCTTTTTCATACACGTGTGGTTCTGCAATTGGCTAATCTTATCAACCTTGGTAAAGCTGACTTTTTCTTCAAGTTTTCTCACTTTTCTTTTCTTTTTTGACGTGGAAACCCAGCCGACGACTTCACGTACTGAAGACTCACTATTATTTTCAAACCGCATTTATCACGGCAATAAGACAGCAATAGAGTCAAGTCACCTTAAGGCTGTCGTTCAGTCTATCACTTAAGTGTCAGGAAGGAAACAACCATTCCTCAAGTGTCACAGCCACCACCGAAGCTAAAAGTTTTCGGCAGAACACAAACCAACATTTTGTCATCAGGATAATAATCATGTTACCCGAACCTGCAACGCTTTCTTGTTATATTAAATCTTGTTTCTGACCGTCTCCTCTGCAATGTCATCATACAGTAACGGCAAAATAAATGAATTACCGCGTGAATATTTATTTATCTATCTATTTAGTTAGTTAGTTAGTTAGTTAGATAGTTAGTTAGTTAGTTAGTTAGTTAGTTAGTTAGTTAGTTAGTTAGTTAGTTAGTTAGTTAGTTAGTTAGTTAGTTAGTTAGTTAGTTAGTTAGTTATTAGCTGACTGGTCACGAATGCCGACCCCGACTACTGAAGGCAAAAAGCCTTGTAACACTAAATAAGTTTATTGCCCCACGAATCAACGACCACATTTTTTAAGAATCGTTCAAGTACTAGCCTACTGAGAGACTTGCCGCACCCTGTAATTGTTTTCGCACTTCTTTCGTCCCGACGCGTGCGCGGGACCCTTAGCAGTTAGGGGTAGCCCAAGGAAAGAGGTTATGTCATTTGAACATGAGCGTTAATTTTTTTTAACGTGCGATGGCGAGCACACATGTGATCTCGTGGTGGCCTCTCTTGGCGGGTGGACTAACTATAGAGTTCATGACGATCAAACTGCGAATAGCTGTAAATATGGGTATATGACGCAGTTTTTTGAGTATATGGCTGCTACAACGCCAGACACCATCTCAACAAAACATTTGTCGCACATCATTTATTCCACCTAAGCATGGAATCAGGCAAGCCGAGTTCACTCGTAGAGCGAGGGTCACGAGCTGAGCAAGCAATGCTATTTGCTGGCCATGATAATGGTGATCTCCCATGCCAGAACTTCTTTCCTTTGTAACTATTTCTCTACAGCAGGAAAAGGGGTCATGTTTGCTAGGTGTAAAAACATTTCTTTCTGGCTAGATAATCATGCCTTACTTACATTATTTCGTACCAAACCGTAGCTAAAAAATGATCCGTTCAATAACATAAAAGTACCATATTTATTTATTATACGCAATAAGTAAAAAAGTTTAAAATGAAAAAAGTCTGCTGTGAGCATGCAGTTAAAACTTTAAATGTTGAGGTTAAAAATCTTTCAAAATATACAATTTGTAGCTTCCTACGTCGCAAAAAGGTCGTACAAGTTTTAAGAAATATTGCCAAAAACTGTTTTCCAACAAAAAACAAGGTTAGTGGGTGTGCTGCCGTATAGGGCTTATTCTTTGCACTTTGCCATCGCAGACGGGGTCGATCTTCTTTGATTCCGTGACACTCAGAGATGCACGGGACGAACAAAACGGCTTTTGCGCATAAGTTTCAAAGAAAGCAGCCGTGAAAATGACTCTGAGGTATTCCAGTAGAGATGACGGGGAGATAACTCAACGATTTTCGTGTAAATGAGGATTCCGATGCAGTTCACCCTTCATTATAAGAGTCAAGTTCCTCCACGAACCGTCCCTTTCCGCGTATGTCTGCCTCTCTAAAACATGTATCCACGCATATTTGTTGGTTTTCTACCATTTTCTAGAAAAAAAAGTGCAGCCACTTTGATTCTATGAAAGCCGTAGAAGCAGCGGGGATGATGGGGCCTCTTCTGTTTTTTTTTTTTTCAAATCTTTCGAAGTATTTGCGTTTTGCAGCTTTCGCTATGTATGGTTGCGTCGTATCAATGCCCGTTTTTAAATTTTGCTGAGCCTAAAGTTATGGGATTGATACCCTTAACTTTATTTACGCGATTTCAATGTACGCTAATGAATCTTATAGTGGTAAAAAGTTTTGAAGACCTTCAGTACGGCAAGCCATATAGTGACTTCTTAGTTTCGGTACGCCAAGGCCCACAAAAAATTATTACCTTAAAAGCAATTGCAACCAAATTCACGTACATTCCTTTGGGAGAAAGCTGATAGGTGGTGCCTGGTCATCTACGCAGTACGTATCGCACTTCAGGCACCTCAACATCCTCTCCGCTGTTGAAGTCCTTGGCTATGACTTGGAGCATCAGGGCGCTCTTTCCACTGTCGATTTTTGCCTTGGACACGAGCTCTGCGATTTCACTGACGCTGCAAAAAGCCGTGGCCATCGATGAGTGAGTGACAAACTGATTAGGCAGTTGCTGCTATTGTAGAGATGCTTTACAATATGAAAGACGTTGTTTATAATTCGTTTAGCACCTATACAGCCTTCAAGGAATCGAATTACTGGTGTATTTGGTTCAAATGTGGCCAACACGAGTATTAGATTAAAAATTTGGCCCGAGTATCTGCATGTAAATCTGCCAATGTCGTCGAAAGACGATAGTCTTGCGTGTGGAGAGAGTGAACAAAACATTTATTTGATGTTCTGCGCAAGAGACTTTAAAACCTTTAAAAACGAATTATCACATCATTGTTCTTGCAGGTATAGAGTGACCAATAATAAGTTGCGTACTGTATATGTAATTTAAATAAAACGAACCATTATTCCTAAATTTTCGTGCCACGGTACCTTGCTCAAGCCACATATTTTCCAACTTGAGGACACTCGCAAGATGCGAATGACCAAACAAAGTAACAAGAGCTGTAGACCTTGGACAGTGACGATAGGTTGACGCGACAACGCAGCTTGAATACAGCGAAGGCCTTGCTACTGCATCCATCAGCTGCCATTTTGCACGAAGTTCAAATTCACTACCAGGCGGGTGCACGCTAACACCGTGCAAATGGCGTGCGATAGACTCAGCGTCAATGAGTAATAGATGATTCCCTCTTAGGTAGGCCACGTGAGCACTACCAGGCCACTATACAGAGGGCCTGACACGTCACTGGGGTTACCTCAAGAAACCCGATTAAGGGTGCCACAGACACTCTCCATCACTCTCATCACCCAATATGGACGCTTTGGGGCCTATCCACGCACTATCAACACAGCCGCATCACACGTGGCGAGACTCCTGTCGCACGCAATCGGAGGTCGAAAATGCATATCGGCGACGATCTTTCTTCCTCCGCTTGCGGGTGGCTGGCGTCCCCAATACATGCGAAGCGGCTGTGCGGCTAATGCGTGATCAGGCCCCAACAACCTCAGTCATAGGCACAGCGATAGACGCACAGTGAACGACGAAAAGCGGTACGATCGCGGATGACAGAAAAATCACAGAAAATCACAAAGAAGGGCAAAAGAATCACGGCTTCACTGTTTCTGTAGACTTTTTTAACTGGGTAGAACTGGCATACTTTCTAAGGAAGCCCTTCAATGTTCATGGCTCACTGATCCGCATTCCTCCTGAAGCGCCGGTTGCCACATATAATTGACAAAGGTTTATAAAACATTTTCTTTTCTGAATTTGTGCCGTCCCGTCAATGCACCGAGGCTGCTGTCGGTGGATGGACGGGCGCATGCCATTGCTACCTCTTCCGCGAACGGCAGTCAAGGCACGTAGTGTCCATCAGCTAAAGATTATATATTTTTACACCTGATGCTCTGGCCTAAGCAATATAAAGAATTAAAAGAGTAATCCAAACATTGAACTTCATGCGCGACCAAAACAACTGAAGGAGGGCGCTTACCCGAGGTTCATGCGATTCTGAGAATCGGGCGTACCATCGTCGAATAGAGTTCGGGCTCCTTCCATGAGGCTAACGACTTCGACTTCGTGCACGAGCTGGACAGAAAGAAAGCAAGACGAGAGTGACACTAAAGCAAAAGTAACGCCTTTCACACCCTGAGCAGATATTGTGAGCAGTTAGTTTTTCAAGGGGCCCTGCAAGACCATCGCATAAGTTATGGTCTAATGGTTTCATTAAGAAAGATTATTGCCTCATGAATCGGCAACCACGAACACATTTACAATATATATTCGTATAGTATGAGAAGTGGCAGGGGTTTGCCATTAACATTAAGAATTTTATCTCGTCTTTCTTTCCATTGAGCGCGCTGAAATCTAAGTAGAGAGAGTGGGGAGAAACGGAAAGAAGATGCGTTCCTTCGTCAGCGCACGTTATGACCTTCAGCAATTTTTTATTTCCCTTCAAACGTGTGGCTTACATTCAGCGTAATCTTGAGTGAGCGCATTGGTACGTAGCGGCATCCCATGGTGGCCCCGCTAACTAGGCAGCTCGTTATGCTCAAATCAGCCAATGGTTATGGAGATTGTGTACACAGTGCAGTAATTGGAATATTCCGAAGTGTACACATGGGAGATAGTGGCCAAGTACTGCACTAGCGTGGCAAATCTTGCTCTGGTGAGGGAGTCCATGAGCGCCCGTGGTCGTCAGTGAGCTAGCACCGCGGACCTTTGTCATCACGCCATTTCAGAATCACGCTGATATAATTTTTTACACAATTGGGTGAAAACCATCCAGCGTCACGGTTGTGCGTGAGAGAGAGACATCAGGTTAGGTGGGCACATGAGATTAGGAAGGTTGCAGCTGTAATGAGGCAACTGAACGCACAGGACCAGGTTTTATTGGCGGAACATGCGAGAGGTCTTCACCCTACAGCGGACGTTGTCGGGCTCACGATGATGATTTAGTACATGGTATCACTTGAGAGAACAGAAAATAATTTCAAGTTGAATTTAAAAAAATATTGTGAACTTTAGGTCACGTACTCCGCTACAATGTTTGGCTGGCGAGTTCTCAGAAGTCTCAAGTAACGATTGACAGCGCGGTGATTAATAATGACGCTCCTCCCAACCACCCCTACGAATATGCACTACTGAGGCAGTGACGTCAGCGCATGGCAGCTTTTGCACTCCGATGCCAGAGCCCAAAAAAATGATGGCAGGGAAATCAGTTCCTCCAAGATTACACTTTACATCAGCCATTAGTCTTCTCTGGAATGATAAAAAGGTCGAGAAAAGTCCGGGCCACTAGTGTTTCGCTTTTATGTCTATAGAGCAGTGACCGGGAACCACCAAATTGCAGTAGCGTACAATTGACAAACACGTGGAGATTGGGGTAAATTGTGAGAAATATAGGCGTGCGCGGGGCTTTCTCCTTCGGTGATGGAGGGGGGTGGGGGTCAACGGTTCTTCACAGCGCGCCATCTCTATTTCGTTACTGTATGGGGCCGAGTTTGCACCTCCCCTTCTCGGTGACTAGGGGGGGACAGCCCCCCCCCCTGCTTCTCTACCGTGCGCACACTGTGATGAGGGACAAACTTGAACATGTGAGGGCAGAAGGTCCTATTATATTCCTCCGTGAATTACAAGTTTACAAAGCTACGAATTACATGGTCACTCTCCGGAAACACACAAATTTATAACTATACGACCAGAAGTAGCTTCGCCCGAGACACCTGCAAACACTTTCCCTCATCTCACATTTTCACTCAAGATGGATCTGAATCAATGAGCTCAGGTGAAGATGACCAAGAACAATTAAAACCGCCCCGCTTACTGCGGACATTCTCAAAAGAGGTGCGGTAAAAAGTAACGTTACGAGAGCATTTGTAGGCTATTGTGGATAATTCATGAGTGTTGGTGATTCGCGTTTAGGAACGGTAACCACACGGCGCATAGGTAGACTACAAGAAGTAGCTTTTTGTGTCTTACGGTGTGGTTTTGCGTTTACTTTTGCTAATAATGACAGAAGTTGTATAATACGATATTGCTTAAGTTTTAACGTGCTTCTTAAGCCAGTCATTACGCCGAGGCTGGGGGGTCTTATTGCCGTGGTACTGACACCACTGAGGACAGCAAGGGGTGTGATCAAACAAGAGAATGACGATGGGTTTGAGAAAACAAACCTGTGCTGATCCAACACCATGTGTGGTTTTCTCCGTGACAACGTGATTTTTCTGCAGCACAGTACGTTGTACGCTGTTCGATTCTCTACATACTAAGAATACCGAGTGTTCGAGTACCAGCACTATATGAAAGTCGTGGATTCGTAAATAGTTTTCATTTTTCCTAAACACAAGGCAAGCGCACAGAGCCGTTCAATGAGCAGAAGAATCCTCTAGCTTGGAGGCTAACGACCGCCTAAAGAATTCGCCTCCGGACTCCCTCTAAAATATTTTTTACCGATAAGCTTCTCACTCACTCACTCACTCACTCACTCATTCACTATTTTACTCACTCACCTACTCATTCATTCACTCACACACTTTCAAAATGGTTGCAAATTACTAGGAGCCATACATCCAACTTAAACAACTCTCTCTCGCGTAAGTGCGCTTTCCAGTTGTCGTTTGCGCGCCTGTGTGCACACATGCTTCAATGTTCCCCCCATTGGAACCAAGAACACAATGAAAATACAGTTGTTCAATAGAACAAAAATGACTTACCCGGAAATGATCTATAAGCGCCGCAAGAGTTAACTCTCCCTCGATTTCGATGCAGTTCCAAAAAGTGAAGTCTCGGTTTCGGAACTGTTGAGAAATGAAAGAAATTAAAAGAATGATGCACCAAGGAAACGTAAAGGTACTGAAAGGTACGGTTTAGGATACCGTTAAAGGGAATGCTGAAATTTTCGTGGACAGGGCCTCATCAAGTGGGAGGCCCACGGGACGGCTTTATGGTCTCCCATAGTAGAGTACCAAGTACTCTGAATCGTTAATAAATTTGTTCTAAACACACAGAACAGCTGAAGCTCTCAGAAAGGCCTCGTTCCTTTATTTTTTTAGAATGACACAAGAAGCGCCTGTTAAATTATGGCGGCTTATTGAATATAGCGGATACATTGCACGTTGAAATGGCGGTTTTATTTCAATAGCAAATAATTGCTAGGGCAATCTCGCTGGCTTTTTGTCGTTGCATTCATGTCCCGTGTGTGTGTGCGTGCGTGTGTGTGTGTGTGCGCGTGTGCGCGCGCGCGTGTGTGTGTGTGTGTGTGTGTGTGTGTGCGTGCGTGCGTGCGTGTGTGTGTGTGTGTGTGTGTGTGTGTGTGTGTGTGTGTGTGTGTGTGTGAGAGAGAGAGAGAGAGAAATAAGTGTGTGGCTGAGGATTCAACTCCACAACCCGTCGCTGTGCAGTGCGTTGCGCTATCGACAATGTCAACAAGCAGCACACATCCTGCTGCATGCCAACAAACCATTTATATACACCATTTGCGGCTGACTGTACGCTTAGCTCAGAGGTGCTTCAGCAAGTTCACTGTGACCCGTGAGATGGCGGGAACGGCACGCTTTCGAGGCCATCGCTCTAGTAGTAGCTGCGTTGGTTAGGGTGCTCTTGTGTTCAGGGGAGCAGGAGCGTTTGATAAATGAATTGAATGCAAGCAGCGCTGAGGCAAACGCACAGAATACCACACTTTACGAAATTAGTACTTTAGGAGAGGCGGGTCATGCTGCATCGTTACCCGTCATCTTACTGATGACGCAGGCTAGTTTTCGATTTCTCGGTTCTGGGACAATGCGAGGGTGGAAGCCCAAGAGTGGCTTGGGTTTCCCCTAAGTGACCCAGAATGCCGCTAAATGTTTGAGTCGCCTGGCTGTTTGTATCCCACTTCTAAAGCTATCTATTGTTTCACTGGAGTTTCATGTGTACCTGCGACTTGTAGTTAGACATGCAGGGTGTGTTCTCCCGTGCTCATGCACTAGTGATGGGGGAGGCTTGTACATCTTGCGTTTTCACCTCAAATTTCGCCTTTAAGCTATAGACTAAAGAAAGGTCACTTCGCGCGATGCAGTGGCCGCGTTTGCGAGAAGACTGAGCTAGCGACAAGAGCCAAAGTAGGGGCTAGGTGATGTAACAACTCCGACAGTTGTTAGTTAAAACTTGTCTTCTGCATACCAGAGTGTTCCTTTCGAAAGTTTCTTTGTGTATCGAGCTTTGCCAGTTCTTGTACATCCTGTGTACGTTCTTTACGTGCGTCTTTTGTGCTTGAGCATCGAGCTGCAAGTTTCCAGCTGCTTGCTTCTCCTACTGTGGCATCCCAATTTCTTGCTATCGTGTTTATGTTTATCGCTTCACCTTTAAGCGAAATTGACCGTTAAATTGACGTTGTGAGTTATAGTAAAAGAAAGAGAGAACTTGTATAATACTACTGTCGAGTGTGGGAGGAATGTGATTCAGCGGCATGCCCTACCTTAGACAAGTCTTCGGTTTTAGCCAATGCCAGTCGACATTATTCATTGCTAACCAACGCATGAAGAATGCGAGTGAATAAGGCAGTTCACGACACCCCGTTTTGTCGTTGTCGATAACTTTTCACCCTTGACTACTGGCTTACAAATAACATGCTCTAAGCAACCTTCATGTTCACATTGGCTGTGATACGGTGTCACATGCAAATAAAAACTGGAAGCACACCTTTTTTTTAACAGGTGGGAGGGGCTCTGAGAAACCTAGGAAAGGCAACGCCAAGTTGACAAAACTGTTCCTGTAAAGCTCCGGTCTTCCGTGGTCTTGAACTAGCTGCGAGGAGAAAGCAGAACTGAGATGTCACATTGTAACAGTCGCTTACTTTTGCAATAGGGCACCCACGGAGAAAGAATCATGACCCACTTTAAAAACAGGCCGTCAAATTAAAAAGCTAAATCAAGACTACGAGAGAATAAAAAATATACTCCACAAAACACTTAAAGTAACTATAGCGTCGGAAACATTTCATGGGGCAATGCAAAGGCATGATAATTTATACACACTTATTTTTACCTCCTTGTAACAGCGAAGGGCAAGACTGAGCTTCAAGGTGCGCTTAATGCATACCTTGAGGCAAAAGCTCTCGCATTTGAAAGAAAAAGGGGCCAAGTTCCCAAAGAACTTTTTGCAGAAGTATACCAGCTCATTTTGATTGGCTGGTCATCATCGCTAATTGCAATACCTCGCCTATGACTCACCCTTGCATATGACCAGTACTCCCGACTAGAGTCACCATATTCTTGTTTACGTCATCGTGTATTGATGTGGACTACCTTTTTTTTGCCTTGTTACAAATATTTGCATGAAACCACCTTGTACACCAAAAATTTTCGTCGTACAATGGCAGAACTGGATAAGCGTGTGGGCGTTCCGTTGTGATAGTACTTTAATTCATAATTTAGCTCTGAAGTTACTGCAAAATCATGCGGACTCTAAGCAACAAAATACGCTATGCCCAGGCATCATGACTTGCGGGTGTTTCTTTTTCGTGTGAGCCTTTCTGTAGCATATGCGTCCGTTTCAGCAAACACGGTGAACAAGGTGGTGTTATGATTTCCTGTTTGTTGCGATGGTAGCGGTAGCCGAAAGCGGTGAGCAGTCGAACGGACTTCGCTGAAGCCTTCGCCCAGAGGCGGAATAGGGAGGCAATCAGTTTTGAAAACAGCAACAGGAAGGAACGTTTACTCAGCAGGTTACAGTTCGTACAAAGCCGGCCAGCACGACAACTTTGGCTGGGGCAAAATCTCCCCAAACATGGGGCCGGCACGGCCTTAAATAACGTTTTGGTCTCTTCTGCGAGGCCATTTCCCCGGTGCCTGGCGGAAAAGGTGAAGCTTTCTCTGGAACGGCACAGTGGCTCGGCGGAGGAGGCGACGCTTTGGCCGGAACTGCATGGTGCGCCCTCTGCGTGGAAAGTGGCGCTGGGAGGGGGGTGGGGGAGTTCGCCTGAACTGCACTCGTTCTCGTGGAAACAAGCGCTCCCGAACGAGGATCATGCTTGTAACAGTAGAGAGCTATACCGTAAAAACCCGCGTATAGCCCGGGGTTTTTTTCTAGATTTTAGGGTGCGAAATTTCGGCCCCGTACTATATGCGGGTCCCAAGAATTTTCGGCCCAAATTCAGTTTCGGTTTCGGCATAGCGCGGTGCTATCATCATCATCAGCTGTCTGCGCGCTTCTGCGCTAGGTAGTGTTAGCGGCGTTAGTCTTAACTGGTCAGTTGGTCAGTGGCCTTTGCTTCAACTTGGTGCCCATAATGACGGCCTCGATTTTGCTCCTGTGATTTTACGCCATGTCAGGACCGCGCAGGCAGTACTCTGCTGCTTTTAAAAGAAAAGTTATCGCTGCTGCCGAAACCATCGGCAACTGTGCCGCGGAGCGGCAGTTCGGAGTCAACGAGCGGAGCATTCGCGGTTGGCGGAAGCAGAAGGAAGCCCTCTTTGCATGCAGCGGCCAGCGAAAAAGTTTCCGCGGACCAAAAAATGGAGCATTTCCTGACGTGGAACGAGAACTCACAGACTTTGTGCGGGAGCAGCGAGCTGCACATCTCGCTGTCAACATCGAGCTGCTACAAGCGAAGGCAAGGGAGATCGCTCGAGACAAAGGCATTCAGCCGGAGGATTTCAAAGCGAGCAAGCATTGGGTGTCTCGCTTCATGCGCCGCGCTGGGTTCTCCCTACGTCGGCGTACGTCGATCTCCCAGAAGCTACCAGAGAGCTACGAAGAGCACCTCGTGGCTTTTCAAAGGTACATAATTGTGTTGCGAAAGGCAGTCCCCTTTCAGCTGGGCCAGATCGGCAACGCGGATCAGACGCCGGTCTACCTGGATATGCCCTCGGCGCTGACGGTGCATCAAAAAGGCTCCAGGCAAGTTATCGTGCGGTCGACTGGAAACGAAAAAACGCGGGTGACTGTAATGTTATCCTGCACGGCTGACGGTCGCAAGCTGCCACCCTACGTGGTGTTCAAACGAAAGACGCTGCCGAAGGGGGAGAAGTTCCCGAAAAATGTCGTCGTCCGCTGCCAGGACAAGGGGTGGATGGACGAATCGTTAGTCCTTGACTGGATAAAGTCCGTGTGGTGTCGACGGCCCGGAGCACTGCTGGGGCTCCCTTCGATGCTTGTGCTCGACGCGTTTCGGTGTCACCTGGCCGACTCCGTAAAGCGACTGCTGCGCGACTCCCGCACCGAGCTCGTCGTCATCCCGGGAGGGATGACATCACAGCTGCAGCCGCTTGATGTGTGCCTTAATAAGCCATTTAAGGACCATGTCAAGCGCCTGTACGTGGAGTGGATGAGGTCCGGAGAACCAGAAGTGACCCCTGCCGGACGGCTGAAACGGGCCTCGCCAGCGATGCTCTGCTCGTGGATAGTCGAGGCTTGGGCCTGCATTCCAGAGGCGCTCGTTTGCCGCGCCTTCAAAAAGTGCTCCATCTCCAACGCGCTTGATGGCACTGAGGATGATGTGCTGTGGGAGAACATTTCCGACAAGGGAGCTTCGGAAGAGAGTGCGTCCGACGACGAGGATGAATGAAATGTCAATAAATGCATTTTTTCCATTTTCCTCGGACTATATTCGGGTGAAAACTTTTTTTCTCACGTTTGCTATCCCCGAATTACACCCCGGACTATATGCGGGTCCGAGCTATATGCGGGTTTTTACGGTACTCTACACTGTGTATAAGAATGGGTAATTGATAACCACCGTTGCGCTAGGCTACCGGTTTCCCTTTCTTAACCGTTCTGCTACCTTGCGAGACTCGGCAGAACTGATTGGCATAATATATGTCAATGTGCTTCAAGTTGTCGATAAATTAGCCCTCACGCTGCCGAACTGCTGGCTTTCTGGCTAGCACGGTTGCTGGAGTGACCACGCAGGAAAGTTGTTGGTCTCGCGTTCGGTCACTGAGCCATGCAGACAAATGTTTTGCCAACTAAGAAGCGTTATTTCGGAGAAAACCGTATGAATTTTCGCTGTGTGTTTGTGCTACAAACGAATGGCTGTCAATTTTCCTTTCTTGACCCTTCGACCAGTTTTCTGGGTCATGCGAAACAGATTTTCTTAATATTATGTACCTACCTTGTACAGTTCGAGGCTGGCGAGCCCCGCCACGAGAGACGTGGTGGTGGCAATGGCAGGGATGATCCTGCCCGCGACGAGCTTGCTGGCTAGTCGGTCGGCCGGCTCAATGTCGTAGTTGTTGGCGCGCAAGTTCGAAGCAGCGACAATGAAGTCCATGTGAAAATTGGAGTCATCATCCTTCTGGAACTCAAGCACCGTTAGGTTCAAGCCGTTGAGGTCCCCGGGATCTGGAAGCTTCTCCAGCAGCCAGCGCAAGCGCTGCTCATCTACACGAGTGAACAAGGCAAGATACATAAGTGTGACAGCAAAAAAAAGTGTGGCAATTCTTAAGTTTGTAAAGCAAAAGCCTGTAGTCATTCGACTGTCTATGCCATGTATTGTGACGTTTGGCTTGGGGGAAATCCACATTTTCGGGGTGCTTCTCGGAACCGCTTGCCACGAAATCATCACCAGGTGGCTCAGAAGCTATCCGACTCACTGGACTGCAGCAATCAGACGTCAGACGATGGAGTGTTGCCGCGGGCGCTGCTGTGTGATCATGTGATTGCCCTGAGAATAAGGGAGCATCATTGGGAGCGTGCACGGTTGAACCCCGCCACTGTGCTATCACGTGATTGCTGAGAGAGTGTTAAGGTGAGAGACCACAGTTGGCGCTGTCCTAGGGCAAGAATGGTCGGTTGGTCCGTCTTAATAGACAAGTACACGAGCATACGGCTAACAACCTTAAGTGTAAAATGCTTGCACGAACGCACAGGAGCACAAAAATTGTGTGGTACACTAACACAAGCACTTACTTTCCACAGAACTTTACGGGCTATGCATAGATGGTTTGTGAGGTGTTTGCATTCCAGGCACACACTTTGGTTCGAAAATATACAAACTGATGGACAGGACCATAAAGATAGCACATGCTTCACGAGCCGAAAAACTTGCTTATTGTTACATCCTTTTGGCATTGACTTCTAGATCTTTTCACCTCGAACGTTGAGATATGCAATTAAACTCGCTTCAAGATAAGCCTATTGATTCCACGGTGATGCTTTTTTCGCAGAGGTATTTGATTTGTGTACCTTCATGATCACCGTTGTTCATAAGTCAGGCAACTTAAATACCAACCAATGGGATATGAAATAGCATGTGTGCAGCGAGCCGGCTGTACATGGAGAGAGGCAAAAAAAAACACCAACATCTGTCCCTGTGTTTGAGTTGTTGTTTTACCGTACACGATGAACCATACCCCACTAGCCCAATGTGTATTGCTACATCTACAGCAATCTGAATGAGTGTTTTCATCTACTTTCGCCAAGACAAGACGTTTAGTCTAGCGCTTGCAGGTTTACCCAAGCGTTCTCTGCCATGATATGCAAGAATTTTTATCTCCGCTCATTTTTTTCCTCGCATAGCTCCGTCTTTAGGTTCACACTGTATTACATGCGTTTGTTCTTATGTATAGCCCCACTGATGTTTCATTGTTAATAACCCACCATCAGGTGGCATGGATGCGTCATCGTTGGCTACAGCGTCGTCGTTTGTCTGCGGCGCGTAGACTGGAACCTCGACGTCTTCGAGCATTCTCGCGATTGCTTCGCGGTCCGTGTTTTGCGGGATGCCGTACATGGCAGCCCGCAGGTTTGCCACGGCGACGATGTAGTCCATGTGCAGCGTCTGCAGCGAGGTACAACAGAGGAGCTTCATCAGAATAGACAAGACGTTGGCAGACTTTTGACTACTACACATTTGGTAATAAGTAATAAAATCTGGAGTCATCCTTGCTGCGGCGGCTGCATTTTAGATGGCAGCGAGAATGTTTGAGGCCCATATACTTAGATTTAGGAGCACGTTAAAGAATCCCAGGGGGTCGAAATTTGAGAATTGCTCCTCTACAGCGTCTAAAAATCATAGCGTGGTTTTGCTCCCCCCGCCGTGGTGATCTAGTAGCTAACGTATTCGGCTGCTAACCCGCAGGTCGCTGGATTGAATCCCAGCTGCGGTGGCTGCATTTTTGATGAAGGCCAAAATGCTGTGGGCCCATGTGCTCAAATTTGGTGCACGTCAAAGAGCCCAAGGTGGTCGAAACTTTTGAAACCCTCTACTACGGCGTCTCTCTTAATCTTGTGGTGGTTTTGGAACGAAAAACCCCACATATAAATTATGGTTTCAGTTCTTTAAACCCCCGATACCAACAAACTAAAATCTGAAATCAGTCTTTTGGCAAAAGATAATGAGTGCCTACCAGGTGGCTGAGATGATTTCTGCCCATTACCTGTTACACCGACGCAGGCACTCAGCCTTTGGTTAAGCGACAATATTTTGCGATGCAATCGTCTTATCTACCCATGACATCATGATGGCATGACCGATTTTCACAATCTGTGTTAGAGTAATGGCGACAATATCTGTCGTGTAGGACACATGTGCCAAGACCTTGTGATAATTGTTGAAAATAAGTCTCAACTATAAGTGAGGCATTGGTGTAGTTGGTTTTGCATTATGAAACATTGCGCCACAGTTACAGAGACAAAAATGAAGTTAGAGAGGACACGCGTTACAAAGTAAACACAACAAGTGCAAAGAATTAACTGAATTTACTTTAAAAGTGACGAAGAAACTAAGGAAAGAGACGTACGACATTCCATGATGAGGGGAGGGTCTACAACCTTGCCTAACTGTCTGATCCTACACGTGGTGTGGTGACGAAAAATAGTGATAACTCAAAGTTTGTTTCCGACTTCACCTACTTGGTTGCCGCGTGTTGCTTCTGATAGTCAAATTCTGGCTGCATCAGCAGAATTGAACTTGAACTGAAGGATGCACTATGGGAGTTTGATACGTGGAAGTCTTGCCCACATTTCTAATGTATACGCTTCGCTTTTGCGAAAACATGTTTCGTCCAAGATGTTTAACAAATCATCGCAAGTTTTAATTATCTATCCATTATCCAACGTGAGGCTCTACCAAGCATTAACACATGGCAACACTTCCGGCATTTGTGAAAATTAGCAACCGGATGCTAGCCGACATTAACACCAGCCACCATCAGTTAGTGCTGCTACCCTCTGCGGTACCAGCCACGATTATGTAGTGGTTAGAACCTGCCACGTTCGTCTAGTGGATAAGGCCTTCGGCTGCTGACCCACAGGTCACGGGCTCGAATCTCGGCCGTGGCGGCCGCAATTTCGACAAAAGTGAAAATTCTTGAAGCCCGTGTGTCTAGATTCAGAAGCAGGTTAAAAAACGCCAGGTGGTAGAAATTTCCGGAACCTTTCACTACGGCGTCTCCCATAATAAAGATATCGTTGTTTTGGGACGTTAAACTCAAGTATTATTGATATAATGGCAATGGTGCTTCATTTTTGATATGCTGGTCGCAGGATGGGATCCTGACCGTGGCGGTCGTATTTCTGTTGAACGAAAAAATGCTTGAGGCCCGTGTGATGGGGTTTAGGGGTTTAGATGCATGTTAAAACATACCTGAGTGGTCGAACGGAGCCTTCCACTACGTTGCCTTTGATAATCATGCCTCTCACAATCATATACCCACTGCAGCAGTACACTACTAAACAGATTAGGCCAGCAGGAATCTTGCGAGACCATACACGGTAAAATGCATTCTTGCATACAAAATAAAATAAGAAGCAATCGGTACCGTCACCTGGAATGGTAAGAATTATTGAACGTACACTGCGAATTCATACCGCTTACGAAAGGCGTTGGCACTGCGCGTGCGAATCCTTACGTTGCTAGGGTCGAAATCGATGGGGTGGGGGCAGCGCTTCACTCCAGACCAGAACGGCATACCCGTATTGGTGAGCTGTAAATAAAAAAGAAGTTACACCAGCCCCCACTACGGGGAGCCTTGTGTAGATGCGAAGCAGTGGGCGCTAACGCGAAGGCCTCACCACACTCACCCGTTGCAGCCTTCAGGGCGTACCGATTTGATGCGGCGCTGTGCCCTCTTTCTATGAAGAGGGAACGCACGCAGCTTCCCCTGGCCACGCACCCTCGCTCTCCATAAAGAGACGATGCGGCGCCGCGTCAAAAAGTCACGCGCAAACGCGCTACAATGAGAGCGTGTGGTCAGGCCTTAATGCTTACTTGCAGTGGTGACGTCGACCCTGGCACTCATCGCGGCGTTGCGCAAGAGAGAAATTTTGGGGAGGTGCAAAGCATGCAGTGAGGAACCAGTGTTTACTACTGGAACATGCCAATCGCTGCTAATGGGCGACGAGAGTCAGAAGACTCCGATTTGACACAGACCCGCACACTGCTTTTGGTTAACGCGCACGCTGCGAATTCTTATTGTCAAACAACGCAAAAAAGAAATATCTCTCTCACACTAACTTATAAGTGGAGATTCAGTGCCTATAGACCTTTTTAAAGATAGAGAATTTCCTCCTTTCTCTGCTTTTGCATGAGAGTACAAAAGCGGACGTCACAGCTTCGGCAACGAATTTTTTTTAGGGAGTCACGCGCGCTAACAGCAGCGCAGAAAGGAATATATGGCGGTGCCCAATGAGCCTTGAGTGAATAGGTGGATAAAAAATGGCAGAATATCTACGGAGTGAATGATGGAGAGTGGGGCTAAGCATTCATCCGTCCATTCGTTCTTGCTTCCGGCCGTCCATGCGTCCGTCTGTGTGGCGGTCCATGCGTTCATCCGCCCGTCCGTGCGTGCGTCTGTTCGTTCGTCCGTCCCTGCGTTTGTCCATGCATCCGCCCATGTGTACGTTCATGCGTCCATCCATGCATCTGTCTGTGTCCATCTATTCAACGCTCCAAGCACCACCATCTCGGATCTTTTCATCATATATTCCCCATATAGAAGCATCGTCATCCAGCGGACATTCAAAGGATGAAACGAGAGGTGGCACACGCACACTTTCTTACGGCTTGCGCTCCGTGTCTACTTCCCACCTTTAACCACAACGAGTTCATGGTATATACTAGTTCACTGTATTCATGGCACTGCGGCCCAACGCTCGCTAAACCTTTCTAAAACCTAGGAGGTTATGCCCAGCGAGCATCACGTCGCAACTCTTTCTTGTCTTCTGTGCGTTGTTGAACAATAAAAAATTCGCAGCGTGCGCGTTAAATCAAAGCCGAATTCTCCTGTCTCTCATTCGCCCTTAGCAGCCATTGGCATGTACATTGAGCATCATCTTTTCTTGTTCAACAGCGCACGGAAGAAATCTCTCACCGGCACCACCTTGGAGGTCAAAATGTTATACTTGTTACACACTACAACGGCTACGGGGGACGAAGGGGTGCCGATATAAGGAGCTTTGCCCCTAATATGCGGGGTAGCCAGAAAACGGTTGTGCAGCGCAAGCAGTTGGTTTTTGCAATCTTGAAACTCGCTGGCAGACGCTGGCTGCGTCGGAGTTGCGATGCGAGACAGGGGAGTGCAGGGGAGGAGGGATGCTCATGCGCAGTGTGGGTGTAAACGCCGCGGGAAGGGATGCTGCGAGAAGAAAGAGGGGGGGGGGGGGTCGAGCATAGACTAGCAGACACTTTCTGTGCTGGCGTTGAGAAGATGAGCGAGGGCGAGAGAACGCGCAAGTGTGGTCCCGACGCACACTGGATTGAGCTCGACCATATGAAGCTCTGCATCTGAAAAGGTTGCGTACTGGCACTGTAAACCATTTCGCAACTTTAAAGGGGCCTTGAAACACTTTGAGTAACCATGGAAATATTTCACTAGAAAAGCGTATTACCGTACAGATTCAATGGAGCGAAAATTTTAAGAATCCGTCCAGTACGAGTGGAGTTACAAGGATTTGTCACATGCCACAATCGCATTCTCTCTTCTCTCGTTCCGACGAAAGCAGTGGAAGCTAAACAGGGAGGGGTGGGAGGGGCAAACAGAAAACGTCATGCGCGCCTCGTAACCTTGAGCACCTTTTATGGGCAAGTGACGGCCTCTAGCGGCGATCTCTGTAACAACCGAGCATGCCATGTTCGAATAAGCCAATGGCTGATAGATGGGCTTAGTACGAGTGATTTTCGGGCTTATTTCGTGATTTTTTGAGAGAAGAGAAAGCAATTTTTAGCTGACTTTGTTAATTTGTTATGAATTGCAGGCGGCGTGCTGTGATATACCATTTGGCTCCTGTGTTCTCGCGAACCTCTACTACCCATCAGCAGCGTTTTCTGACCATGCTCAAAAATTGTTGCAGGGCCCATTTAAGTTGTTCAAAGCCAGGAGAACACCCTTTAGCCCAGAATTCGCCTCAAATATTAGGGTGTAAGTGTGTTTCTGTTCCCCAAATATTCTTTAAGGAGCACTGTTATAACCGAAACACCCTTAAAAAGCTAAGGGTGGTGTAGGTTATCAAAACACCTGGGGGCTGTACGACAGTGCATCAAAGGATAACGGGACTTACTGATTAAAATGTCGTAAGACCAGGCTAGCTTAAATTAAAAACTGTGTCTTTTTTAGGTCTGCAGTCTACTATCATACCTGAAATGCGCGCCTACCCTGTTAATATTTATTGTTCATTTATATGAAAAAAGAACAATCTCCAGCAGCACTGAACGGGGGCCTAAGAGGCTATGACTACACCAGATGGGCGGCGTAAGTCTGTGCAGCGCAAGCACTCTTTGCACAGAATATCTCACAAAATGCAACGTTCTCTGTATGACTGGTCATGTACGTACACCCTCTGTGCTGGTATGATCATTTATCTCATGTTTACTTACTAGTATATATTACGATTAGTGGTTAAGGTGCTTAGGCCTTTAGTAACACCTCACGGCTAGTTGTTCCATTCGTGAAAATGCCCTTTTCATAAAGTGTAAGGGTGTTAGTTTTTGAAACGGCGAAGTGTACTTAAAAAGTGAAATAGTTCACAGTGAGATCGTATCTATCACTTCGTAACGTAGTGTAGCCCCAGATCCCAGGGACAGACCTGCATTCAGTTCCTGTGAGCGAACGAACAATGTCAACTAAAGAACGTTCCATTCTTAATCCACGTGGTTCTGTTAAAAATGCTTGTTCAGTCGATTACGGGTGTACAGTTATATAACTGTGCTTCGAAGACTTCCCGAGATATGAGAGGACGAAAAAGAAAAATGAATAAATTGCCCTTGTTTGCAAGACGTGGCCGTACAAAACCAACGGATAACGAAGCCATAAAAAGCACAGCTGGCCTTATTTGTAGTCCTCAAGTGAACTATACTAACTGCGACGTAAAAAGTAACTAAATTGCGTCAAAGGAAAGTAAGTTTTAGCCAGATTTATGCATGTGCACATTCTACGTAAACGGCCGAAACTGGCAAGCAAGACCCACAAATCGTCAGAAAATTTTACAATCATAATCTTCGTAATTTTTGTGCATATCTGTTTCTTTGTGTCATCTTCCTTATATCGTCCAATACAGTTCTCTCTCCCTTTCTCCTCCTCTTCCTTGTAATAGCTCTCAGATTACCCCCACTCACTTCTTTCCATCCCTCGCTACACTGTACATAGTGATGATTCACCCTCACAACTTCCCCTTTCTCTCTGCCTCACCGTTACGTCAACCCTAAGGCCACTTACCCTAACTTTTCCCTCTCATCACCTTGTGAAACTAGACTATACATACACAAATCTATTCCACGATCTCCCCCTGCCATTCTCAATTACTTTTCTCCTTGCCCTTACACCCCTTATCACCCTCACGTTTCTTTTCCGCTCCCTCGGTGCATCATACTATCAATGGTTATGCTATGTTAGGAAGCTGCCTGGCCCATAAAGTCACTTTGTACTCTCCCCTTATTTCCTTTCTATAGTCCTAGTTTCCTCTCTCTCAGCCCCTTAGTACACACTCTATTGCGCAAAGCACTGCTTGACACATTCACTTTTTTCTGCTTACGCGAACCAGTGGAACGAAAAGCTTAAACAACTTTGTGCTGTTAAAATAAGCTTTCATGGTTGGAGTCGACGACACAATCTCAGCCTTAGTTTGCAAGGTGCATATGTGATGGCAACTGCATTACTTCAGTTTACTGACTTTTGCACATAAAAAATCAGCAGTTTCGAGAATTGCTGACCTGATCCTCGGGATGACATTCCAGGAGCTTTTTGATGTCACTGTTGTACTGCTCCTGAAAGCGATGCCTGGCGAAGTCAACGCAGTCGTCGAAGACAGTCGGCCGTTCGTCCACGAGAACCTTCGTGAGACATTCGAGCAAAGCGACCTGCAAAGAAGGAGCACCGGCCTAGCCTTCATCATGAAATATGGTTCTCAACAAGGGCGCTTCTAATATAGTACTGATTACGGTGGCCGCATTTTCATACATACATACATACATACATACATACATACATACATACATACATACATACATACATACATACATACATACATCCATACATACATACATACATACATACATACATACATACATACATACATACATACATACATACATACATACATACATACATACATACATACATACATACATACATACATACATACATACATACATACATACATACATACATACATACATGTTCCCTAGCGTTCCTATTTTGGGTTTCCAGCCCATATTTTAAAAGTTAAGTAATTGAAAATTATTTTTATTAGTATGTGGAGAAATAAAAAATAGTCTGAGTACTGTTGCGAAGCCACCTCCGAAATCCCGCCGCTGACCTCCACTGTTGCGAAAGACGGACCGATCCCGCCGAAGCCACCACTGTTGCGAAGGACGGCGACGCCGACACGGCCCCGAAGGCGCCGCTGCTTTCAACTCCGCCGGGAAGGTCACCAGCCGTTTGGTAGCGTATGTTTCTCAGCCCGCGACTGCTTCTGCGCAGAGCTGATAAGACGAGCGGACGAGACGACGGTGCGTTAAACAAGGTTTATGTACAGCATATATACAGAGGCGTTACAATTTCGGCACAGGGGCCGACAGAGACTCGAAGAGCCGAGCTCTCCTCTCTAACACATAGATCAGCCTTTCGCCTAAGACCGCTGACTCACACACATGTCGGCTCTCCGACATGGGGACTCCTCTCTCGTAGGACTGCCGATCGCGACGCGCCGCAGGGCTTCTTTTATTTACACCGGGTCCAACCAAAATGTCCAATCAGAAGCGCCGCTGGTCGTCAGGGCAGATTCCTCCAATGGGGTAGCCGCGCCATGCGTTAGACCACCAGACACGAGGACGCCGGCTCGCTGTCACGTGCGCCGCTGACTCAATGCACGTGGGCCAGAGAGACGCCGCGCGTGTTCACGCCGTTGAGATGTTCGCGTCAGGCGGACTGCGGGCTGGCCTTGACCCAGATTGCCTTCTTCAGAGGCACGGACGTTTGACGAGGACTCGCTGGCATAACAGCACCCCCGCCGCCAGATAATGCACCGGAAAGACGAGCTACTTCCACGGGGCTCGGATGTCAGGTGCGCTCGTTCGCCTCCAGGGCCATGGGGAGAATACTGCTCCAGACTGTTCCGGGAACACGTCCAATTTTTGACGACGGATCCCAGCTCCACTGGCTTGTCGCCACAACTTGTCGACCAGCTTCACTCGTCTCTTCTGACCATCTTCGGTTTCAGCACTTGTCGATGGTTCTGCAACTTGCCAAGAACGGATCGACAACAGACAACACACGACACACGCAAGTGCCTTCGGTGACCCGACAGAACACCAGACAAAGTATAGTACAACATATACCTATCTACGTGTTTATCGGAATTTTGTTCCCTCTACATCAAGAGGCACATGTGGGACACAAGACTCTTAAAGTAAGAACTTGAATTTTTCACAATTACAACAACGCAACGAATTAGAATACCACATAAAGTTGGCCCCTTGAGATCACTCTGAACGAGAGCGCTCAGCCCAGGTCGTGATGAGGTCAAAATTTTGCCCCGAATCGCCAGCGAGAAACCGAAAGGTTGAGAAGTTACTCGCTGGAACGCACTGCTCAATGCACCTGCATTAGCGTTTACCTTTCCTTTATTTTTTTTTTGATAGCGAACGTCAAAGTTGCGCTGTGGAGCAACATGCTCCACTTCAGTAACCGGCCACTTTTAGGCGACGATACCTATGCGGCACCAAGAGCGGCTCACACTTTCGACGCTGCACAGGGGAACAACGATACGGCTTGCTACGGATTGACTCCTCACCGCTTAGCTCGATATCGTGTTCGATCACCCTCGTGTTTCCGGGGCGGTCCGAAAACACGTCTCCAAACTCGGAACCAATCTTTCTCAGGTCCTCTTTCTCAGGTCCTCCTTCACTTAAGCTAGGCTCTAGGTTAAACTGTTCCCAGATTACTTCCGATTTCCTTTCGATTACCTCACTAGAACTCAAAATCTCTGCTTCCTCTTCCTCTGAAGCATTCAACAACAGATTTACGACCGCTTGATGTTGAACGTATGGTTTCATCAAGTTGTAAATTTTGTCCGGCCGCCTTCCTAATTTCACTTCATAATTTGAATCGCAAGGCTTCGATAATACTGTGGCGGGCCCTTCCCAATCAAACTCAAGCTTGTCCCTCTTGGACGGCTGCAGCAGCATTACCTGATTATCAACTTCAAAAGCACGCTTCTTCACCGATTCCTCGTAGTGCTCCTTCGACAGCACTTTTGCCGCGTTTTTCTGGCTTTCCACTAGCGCTTCAATTTGGCTTTCCACTAGCGCTTCAATCTGGCTTTCCACTAGCGTTTCAACCTGGCTTTCCACTAGCGCTTCAATCTGGCTTTCCACTAGCGCTTCAATTTGGCTTTCCACTAGCGCTTCAATCGAGAGATCCTCACACTGCTCTCGAATGAGCGTCTCTTGATCAACTCTCGGCAGCTCGCTCCAACTTTCCGCTACAGGCGAGAGCGTTGCAACCCTCTCGCTCTGACTCAATGGCGCCATGTCGTCTCCCCCAAGGCATACTTCGCCGGCCGCTTCCGCGACGGGCCGCTCGCGTGACTCATGCGAAAAATTTCCTTTCTGGGGTTCCGTCGACCCGCCGACATGGTCACTTGAGAGTTCACCGCATGGAACCAGATCAAGCTGCCGCGATAGCTTCCGCGCTTGCGATCGCGTGAGAGCCATGCACGCTAAGTTGGGGAAGAACGATTTGCCCTGCTATTTGAGAAGCTGCTCCGAGTTGTTGGAGAAAAGATAAGGAAAACGATCATTTAGCGCGGCAGACACAGCCGCTTCGGTGCGAAGCTCACCGAACGGGCCTTCAATGACAACCGTGGCGATTGGTAAGCGCACACTCTGCTCCTCGGCGACTTGCCTGATCCACGCCCATTCTCCTGTGAAGTCATCCGGAGACACCAATGAAGGATGGACAACGTCCATGGTTGCCGCTGAGTCTCTAAGTGCTCGGCACGTTTTCTCATTGACCCTAATTTCTTGGAGATACGGCTCCAACAACCGAATGTTTTTTTCTGATTCTCGGATCGTTGCGAAGGCAAACTTTTCCTGACAGTTTCTAGCGATGTGCCCTTCCTTTTTACAGTTGTAGCAGATTAGCGGCTTCCGTTTGTTTTCCGATTCAAATGCCTGTGTGGTAGAAACCTCACTCGATTTCTCCGCTTCTGTTTGCCCTTCCCCTACACTGTCCTTCGTAAGAGACGGATCCTTTTTGAAATTACGGTGCGGAACGGGTTTCGGTTGATCAGGTTTCCTTGAAAAGCCCTCTTTCCTTTCATCCTTTTCAACGCGCACTGCCCTGCTATGCAACTTTCGGCGAGTATAATACTCCTCAGCTAACTCAGCTGCCTTATTTAACTGTACTTCCCCAAGTCTGTCCTGCAGCCAAAGTCTGACATTATCCTCGATGCAGCGGTAGAATTGCTCCAATGCAACGCATTCCACCACTTTATCGCGGTTGTCATAAACACCTTCGCCCTTGAGCCATTCAATTAAATCGGCCTTAAGACGAAACGCGAAGTCAACGTGTGACTCATTCCCTTTTTCAGCATACTGGAACCTTTGCCTGAAAGCCTCAGGTGACAACTTATAACGTCTCAAGAGCACTTCCTTAACCTCGTCATAGCTCTCAAACGCTTCCCACGACAAGCAAGTTATCACGTCGGACACTTCGCCGGGAAGAAGAGCTAACAGGTTCTGCGCCCAAAGAGATCGCTCCAAAGCGTTTCGCTCACAGACGTGTTCAAACTTGACGAGATACTTCGCCATGTCCTCGCCTACTACGAACGGTGGCAGTTGGTCACGAATTCTAAAACCGCTGACCTGAATCGTCGGAGAAGCTACTCTAGGCGCCTGCGAACACTGTAGGATTGCCAATTCTAGTCGTTTCATCTCAAGGCGCTCCTGTCTCTCGGCCTCCTCGCGCTCGCGACGTTCGCGCCTTTCAGCTTCTTCACGTTCGCGAGCTTCGCGCCTTTCAGCCTCCTCACGTTCGCGAGCTTCTACTTCTCGCCTTTCAGCCTCCTCACGGCGTGCTTTAATATCCACCCAGGCCTCATCGACTTCCTCAGCCGACACTCCCTCATCCTTCATGATCTCAAGGATCGCTTGCTTTCGTTTCGCACGGCCCAAAGTAATGCCGAGTTCCTCACAAATTTCGACGAGTTCCTTCACTTTAAGGTTCTCCATCGTTCACACTAGCCTCTTGCTGTTTGCCCCTGTTAACAATTTACTTGCCGTACCCACTGTAAGTCAACTAGCAAGACGCGCAAGCAATTTTTCACTCTCCCGTGTTTACCCCCTCCGCATTAACTTTGGTTTCAAAGCACTTCGACTTTGCTTGAAACGATCAAAGCTCACTCTAATGCTTCACACAGCCCTTCTCTAAACTACTACAACCTGAGCTAGAGTAGTCTGGTGAACTGAGGGGAAAACATCAGGCACTCACCGCATCGATGTCGCTGACGCCGGCCGATCCCGCAGCTGCCAACCACTGTTGCGAAGCCACCTCCGAAATCCCGCCGCTGACCTCCACTGTTGCGAAAGACGGACCGATCCCGCCGAAGCCACCACTGTTGCGAAAGACGGCGACGCCGACACGGCCCCGAAGGCGCCGCTGCTTTCAACTCCGCCGGGAAGGTCACCAGCCGTTTGGTAGCGTATGTTTCTCAGCCCGCGACTGCTTCTGCGCAGAGCTGATAAGACGAGCGGACGAGACGACGGTGCGTTAAACAAGGTTTATGTACAGCATATATACAGAGGCGTTACAATTTCGGCAAAGGGGCCGACAGAGACTCGAAGAGCCGAGCTCTCCTCTCTAACACATAGATCAGCCTTTCGCCTAAGACCGCTGACTCACACACATGTCGGCTCTCCGACATGGGGACTCCTCTCTCGTAGGACTGCCGATCGCGACGCGCCGCAGGGCTTCTTTTATTTACACCGGGTCCAACCAAAATGTCCAATCAGAAGCGCCGCTGGTCGTCAGGGCAGATTCCTCCAATGGGGTAGCCGCGCCATGCGTCAGACCACCAGACACGAGGACGCCGGCTCGCTGTCACGTGCGCCGCTGACTCAATGCACGTGGGCCAGAGAGACGCCGCGCGTGTTCACGCCGTTGAGATGTTCGCGTCAGGCGGACTGCGGGCTGGCCTTGACCCAGATTGCCTTTTTCAGAGGCACGGACGTTTGACGAGGACTCGCTGGCATAACAGTACCTACAAGCTAATGCGAGTAGTATGCGTTTGGTTCAATTCGCCTCCTAAGTGCCTTTCATTTTCAAATTCTTGGCTCAAGTTATGTGGGACAACCTTTATATATAGCTATCATTAAGAAACGGTAGGAAATATTTCTCAGTTCTTAGCAAACATACGAGCAAATATTAGCATCCTCGTTACGCCTTAGCAAACATTTAGACAAACTACGCTTAAAGGGCCAGTAGATAGATATTGTCAACCAAGAATTACACTTCTGAAGCCGTTCTATATATAGCTATGGTTAAGAAAAGGTATGAAATATTTCTCAGCTATTAGCAAACGTACGAGAAAGTATTCATATCATCGTTACATACTGGTAAACATTTAGACCAACTGCACTTGAAGGGCCAGTCAACAGGCTCCGACATTTTTTACACCCCCCAAAGTAGCTCGGCAATACGTAGAGTGAACTGCGGCGATAACGTTGTCTGAATATTACAACGATGCGCGCCGCGCAGAGTCTCAATTTCGAAAAACCATTCCCGCGCTTCTTCCCTACGCCTCACTAATCCTACTATCAAGCACAGTCGCAAAGTTGCCGATCGGCTTTTGCTTTTTCCTTACTTTTCCCCTTATATTCCCACTACCCCATTCCCTGTGTGGACCTGTTGAGGTCCACACTTTACTCTTCTTTTCCTTTTATAATCACTCACAGGCTTGACGTAGCATGCAGCTCATCGGTTGCGCTAAAGCGGTCACGATGACCGACTGCGCCTTTCCCTCCTTCTAAGAGAGATGGGTGCCGGGGTCGCGCGACAATTTTAAACCAGCTGAAATTGATGCTCTAGTTCCTGCAACTCATTTGACACATCCGGAAAATTTTTGTGGCATTGTGTTCACAAAGTAAGCGTGCGTATTTATTTTTATAACAATTTTTGGACCTCGGGGTTGTTTACTGGCTCTTTAAGCTCGCTCCATAAAAACGCGCGCACATCATTTAGCCTAAAAGACAACGTTATCTAGTGCTAACCAATCCTGTTCGTGCGTTAATAAGCATGGTATGTTGCTATTTCATTTTTGTCAGAACTAATCATTGCGCCCAGTGTAGTGAATAAAGGCCAATGAAGAAACTGAAAAATCCGCACCTTTTCGTTGAGCGGCAGCGTCTGCAGTGCCTCGGATAGAAAACGGGAGTCCCTGAAAAGCATCAGTGAGTACGTGACGTCAGAAAAGCACGCAACAGCATTCGATTCACTCTAAGCAAGCGCTCCCTCTTTTTTCCTACGTCCCGAAATAAAATAAAAAAAAACCTGGCAGATCCCACGTACAGTGGGCACCGATGACATGCGAAGCACGAATGAGGAAGGTTGATATGTCACTTTAAAATTAGCATAATTTTACGAAGTGGAGGTAAATTATGCCATACACGACTTCCATGTCATCATTAATATGTTTCGACCTCTAATTTACATTCTTCGTCCATTAAAGTCACGTAAAACCGAATTTGGTGTATGTTGAGCTAGTGAAACGCCCGCGAGCACGCAATGGGCGTATCATGTAGTCATGCTTTACACGACACGCATATCATGGTTATCATCTTTGGACGTGTCATTTACCTTCGTTGTGTATTCACGTCACGTGACATAAAGTTTGGTATATGTGGAGCTAGTGCAACGGCCGCGAGCGCATCATGAGCATGGTATATTGTCATGCTCTTACACGGTGCGTGTAATGATTATCACGCATTCACTAGTCATATGCCTTCAACATCCATTGACGTCACGTAACACCAACATTGATATATGTGGAGCTAGCGAAACGGCTGCGAGCGCATCATGAAGGGCCCGATATACTCCGACCTAACCATGACGAGGGCGCACGCTGGGCGCAGCGACGCTCCATTAGCAAAACGAACGCCAGGCGCGACCGGCGTGACCAGCATCCATCGCGCGGCCCTGCGGCAACCGGGGCGAAATGCAACATGCTGCATTTCGCGCACATGACGTTACCCAGTTCTACCCAGAAAGCACTGCGTCTGCCTCTCTTCATGATGAAGGGATGCCGGGCGCGCTCAAACGCGCATGCAACCAAGCAACGCAGGCGCAGATCGCCGCCTGGCGTGGCATCGCCTGCACGCGCGCCTGGTCACGTCAAAGTGTATTGGCGCCTTGAGCGTGGCGTGTAGTCATGTTGTTACATCATACGCAGCTCATGACAATCATGTTTGCACCAGTCGCATACCTTCGTCATCCATTGGCGTCACGTAATAACAAATTTGGCATTTTTGAATATAGTGAAACGTTCGCGAACGAATCATGAGTTTGGCATGTAGTCGTGTTGTTACATGACACGCATGTCGGGATATTCATGTTTGGACGTGTCATTTGCTTGTGTCGTCCACATCACGTAATACCGTTTGGTACATGTGAAGCTAGCGAAACGGCCGCGAGAGCATCATGAGCTTGGCGCGTAGTCATGACTAGTCATAACATGAAAATAATGACATGCACATCAAGATTTCCATGTTAAGATTTGTCACCTATGTTCGCTATGCAGTCATGTCATACCATGCCAGTTTTGCAACATGTCATGTGAACGAAACCACCACAAGTGCAGCAAGACCATGAAAGGTAAATCATGACATTCAACATCCATGTCGTGAGTTTCATGTTATTACTAGTTATTTATGCTCGTCATACAATCATATTATGGCATATCAAGTTTGATATTGATACCATTATCGAAACGGCCAGGAGAGCTAAAAGTCGTAAGCAGCTAGATAGATAGATAGATAGATAGATAGATAGATAGATAGATAGATAGATAGATAGATAGATAGATAGATAGATAGATAGATAGATAGATAGATAGATAGATAGATAGATAGATATGCTGAAAGTCACCGAAGTTCGCTAAGAAATGATTCGCATTCAAAACTACAGCGCAGAGGAGTGCTGTCCTCGCTTCCCTCAGGTGGTAGTGATTCATAATTTTTCTCGAAGAGTGGGAAAAAATAATAAAAATGCAGCATATCTACGGAGTGAATGATGGAGAGTGGGGCGAAGCATCCGTCCGTCTAATCGTTATTGCTTCCGTCCGTCCATGCGTCCGTCTGTGTGACCATCCGTGCGTCCGGCCGACCGTGCGTGCGTCTGTTCGTGCGTCCGCACGTGCTTATGTGCGTCCATCCCTGCGTTCATCCGTGCATCCGCCCATGCGTCCGTGCATGCGTCCATCAGTCCGTGCAGCCATCCATGAGTCCGTCCAGGCCGTTTGACCATCTATTCAACACTCCCAAGTACCACCATCTCGCATCTTTTCATCATATATTCCCCATATAGAAGCACCGCCATCCAGTGGACATTCCAAGGACTGAACGAGAGATGGCACACGCACACTTTCTTACTACTTGCGCTTCGTGTCTACTTCCCACCTTTGACCACGTCGAGTTCATGGTATATACTAGTTCACTGTATTCATGGCACTGCGGCCCAACGCTCGCTAAACCTTTCTGAAACCAAGGAGATAACGCCCAGCGAGTATAACGTAGCAACCCTTTCTTGTCAAACAGTGCTCAATGTACATGTCAATGGCTGCTAAGGGGGAATGAAAGACAGGAGAATTCGGCTTTTAGTTAATGCGGATGCTGCGAATTTTTTATTGTTCAACAATGCACAGTAGAAATCTCCCACCGACACCACATTGCAGGTCAAAACATAAGACTGGTTACCCACTACGACAACGACTACTACAAGGAACGAACGGGTGCCGCTTCAAGAATCTTCGCCCCTAAAAGAAGAAAGAAAAAACTGGCAGATCCCACGTAGAGTGGGAATCGATGATATGCGAAGCACGAACGAGAAAGTTTGATATGTCACTTTAAAAGCAGCACAACGTTACGATGTGATGGTAAATAATGCCGTACATAACTTCCGTGTCATGATTATTGTGTTTGTGGTGTCGTTTACCTTCATCATTGATTCAGATCACGTGATACCAACTTTAGTATATGTGGAGCTAGCGAATTGCCCGCGAGCACCCTATGTGCGTGGTATGTTGTCAATGTTCTTACATGACACGCGTGTCAGGATTATCATGCCTGCAGCGGTCATATGCTTTCGTCGCCATTGACGTCACATAACACCAAAGTTGGTATATGGGGAGCTAGCAAAACGGCCGCGAGTGCATCATGAAGGGCCCAATATACTCCAATGTAACGTTGACCCGCGCGCACACTGGGCACAGCGACGCTGCGTTAGCAAAACGCGAGCACCCTATAGTACGACGCCAGGCGTGACCGGCACGACTTTCGTCCATCGGCGCGGCCCTATGGCAATCGGCGATACATGCGACATGCTGCATTTCGCACCGATGCGTTACCCAGACAACATTGCGTCTCCCTCTTTTCGTGACGGAGGGACGCCGGACGCGCTGAATCGTGCATGCGTCAACGCAACGCGCCGTGCGCCTGCGAGTATATGGCAGGACCGGCACCTGGCATGGCAACGCCGGCGTGACGCGCCGAAACGAACGCCGGCGAGCACGTGCACCACGTCACGTAGAAATGTATTGGCGCCTTGACTGTGGCATGTAGTCATGTTCTCACATGACACGCATTTCATGATTAACATGTTTGCCCCAGTCACATACCTTCGTCCTCCATTGACGTCACGTAATTCCAAACTTGGCATTAGTGAAGCTAGCAAAACAGCCGCGAACGCAATATGAGTGTGGCATGTAGTCATGTTGTTACATGGCACTGATGTCGACACTTTCATGTTTGGATGTGTCATATACCTTTGTCGTCCGTTCGCGTCGTGTAATACCGAGTTTGGTACATGTGAAGCTAGCGAAATGGCCGCGAGCGAATCATGAGCGTAGCATGTAGTCATGTTGTTACATGGCAGGCATCTCATGTTTATCATAATTGCAGCAGCATCACACCTTCGTCATCCATTTGTACCCCGTAATACCAAATTTGTTATAAGTGAACCTAGCGAAACAGCCGCCAGCGTATCATGAGCGTGGCACGTAGTCATGCTGTTACATAATACGCATCTCATGATTATTATGTTCGCACCATTCGTATTGCTGCGTCATACATTCAAATACCATAATACCTAACGGGGCATATGTGACGCTAGCGAAACGGCCGCGAGCGCATCATGAGCGTGGCATGTAGTCATGTTGTTACATGACACGCATATCATGATTTTCATGTTAGAGTGTTAGGGTCTGTCACTTGTGTTCGCCATGCAATCATGTCATACCATACCAGTTTAGCGACATGCCATGTGAACGAAACAACCGCAAGAGCGCAGGACCAGGAAATGTAAATCATGACATGCGTGACATACATGCCGTGATTTTAATGTTAAGACTAGTCAAACATGTTCTCCATACAGTTGTGTTATGTCATACCAAGTTTGGTATCGATACCATTATCGAAACGGCTAGGAGAGCTAAAAGTTGTAGGCGGCTGAAAGAATGCCCCCTCATTTAAAAGAATGCTACTCCTCCCCGAAGTGAAATATGAGGAAGTGCAAATGCAGTTCTTGTGCCGAGAGAGGGCTCTGTTGCCGTCAAACATTCGCCTTCACCGACTTCCGCAATCGCCTTAAGACGAGCCCAGCCAGTGAACAGTCGAGAGTGAGGAGCGAGCGAACGAGAGAGTGGAGCGCCAGCGTTGTCGGCTCTGCGTTGACGTTTCACAGCGGCTTCTCGAGCACACATTTCGGGATTTTCTTGAGAGGCGCTCAGCCAGCTAACGGTCGAGTGTGAGCAACGCCGACTAAATTTCAAGGCCGAAAGGCTGCCACAGTTACGTCAGAGGTTGGGGGCCCAGTTGCCCAACTGAGCATGCTCAGTAAGACTTTTTTTCAACATCTTTTATTCGACCCAATCAAGCCGCAGCAGCTGCGAGAACGGGAGCGTTGGTTCTTCTAAAGCGTGAACGAAACACCGGCTTTCCGCCGCGTTCGCGGCGTAACTGGGCCTCCACCCTCTGACGTCACTGCGGCGGCCTTTAGGCCTTGAAAATTAGTCGGCTTTGGTGTGAGGCGCGAGTTGACGGGAAAGTGGGGAGGCAGGGAGGACGAGAGTGATTGCAAGAGAGGAGTGGCGAAGCCACGGAGTGTGCCAGAAACCTGAAAATCAAAGAGCCCCACTGCTAGACCAGCTACAACTGCGCAACACGTAACCATAGTAACGCCGCCATTGTGCCCAGTGAATATAGCGGCCTTGATGTCATTTTCCATCCGCACTTTTCACGTAGCTCGACGGCTGGGCATGCCTCTCCTCTCTTTCCTTCTTCATTGGTGAAGCACTGCACGTACTCTCTCCTACATTCTCTCGCAACACTGCTCTGGTTGCTAGGGTGAGGAATAAGCGCGAGGAAGCAAGGATAGGGAGAGGGTGTGCCCAGCCGGCGCGCTATGTGAAAAGGTGGGAGAAAATGAGATCATGACGGCCACATTCCCTGGCAGAATGGCGGCGTGGCTATGGTCTTCGTGTTGCGCAGTAGTAGCAGTGAACGGCTGCGGCTGGCGGCGGCATGTGTGCCTCTGCGGGTCTCAAACTGAGCCGTGCGGACAATAATCGGGCTCTCCGCCGCGTTTGGTACATGTGAAGCTAGCGAAATGGCCGCGAGCGAATCATGAGCGTAGCATGTAGTCATGTTGTTACATGGCAGGCATCTCATGTTTATCATAATTGCAGCAGCATCACACCTTCGTCATCCATTTGTACCCCGTAATACCAAATTTGTTATAAGTGAACCTAGCGAAACAGCCGCCAGCGTATCATGAGCGTGGCACGTAGTCATGCTGTTACATAATACGCATCTCATGATTATTATGTTCGCACCATTCGTATTGCTGCGTCATACATTCAAATACCATAATACCTAACGGGGCATATGTGACGCTAGCGAAACGGCCGCGAGCGCATCATGAGCGTGGCATGTAGTCATGTTGTTACATGACACGCATATCATGATTTTCATGTTAGAGTGTTAGGGTCTGTCACTTGTGTTCGCCATGCAATCATGTCATACCATACCATTTAGCGACATGCCATGTGAACGAAACAACCGCAAGAGCGCAGGACCAGGAAATGTAAATCATGACATGCGTGACATACATGCCGTGATTTTAATGTTAAGACTAGTCAAACATGTTCTCCATACAGTTGTGTTATGTCATACCAAGTTTGGTATCGATACCATTATCGAAACGGCTAGGAGAGCTAAAAGTTGTAGGCGGCTGAAAGAATGCCCCCTCATTTAAAAGAATGCTACTCCTCCCCGAAGTGAAATATGAGGAAGTGCAAATGCAGTTCTTGCGCCGAGAGAGGGCACTGTTGCCGTCAGACATTCGCCTTCACCGACTTCTGCAATCGCCTTAAGAGGAGCCCAGCCAGTGAACATTCGAGAGTGAGGAGCGAGCGGACGGGAGAGTGAAGCGCCAGCGTTCTCGGCTCTGCGTTGACGTTTCACAGCGGCTTCTCGAGCACACATTTCGGGATTTTCTTGAGAGGCGCTCAGCCAGCTAACGGTCTCGAGTGTGAGCAACGCCGACTAAATTTCAAGGCCGAAAGGCTGCCACAGTTACGTCAGAGGTTGGGGGGCCCAGTTGCCCAACTGAGCATGCTCAGTAAGACTTTTTTTCAACATCTTTTATTCGACCCAATCAAGCCGCAGCAGCTGCGAGAACGGGAGCGTTGGTTCTTCTAAAGCGTGAACGAAACACCGGCTTTCCGCCGCGTTCGCGGCGTAACTGGGCCTCCACCCTCTGACGTCACTGCGGCGGCCTTTAGGCCTTGAAAATTAGTCGGCTTTGGTGTGAGGCGCGAGTTGACGGGAAAGTGGGGAGCAGGGAGGAGAGAGAGTGATTGCAAGAGAAGGAGTGGCGAAGCCACGGAGTGTGCCAGAAACCTGAAAATCAAAGAGCCCCACTGCTAGACCAGCTACACTGCGCAACACGTAACCATAGTAACGCCGCCATTGTGCCCAGTGAATATAGCGGCCTTGATGTCATTTCCTCCGCACTTTTCACGTAGCTCGACGGCTGGGCATGCCCTCTCCTCTCTTTCCTTCTTCCGTGGGTGAAGCACTGCACGTACTCTCTCCTACATTCTCTCGCAACACATGCTCTGGTTGCTAGGGGTGAGGATAAGCGCGAGGAAGCAAGGATAGGAGAGGGTGTGCCCAGCCGGCGCGCTATGTGAAAAGTGTGGAGGAAAATGAGATCATGACGGCCACATTCCCTGTGCAGAATGGCGGCGTTGCTATGGCTTCGTGTTGCGCAGTGTAGCAGTGAACGGCTGCGGCTGGCGGCGGCATGTGTGCCTCTGCGGGTCTCAAACTGAGCCGTGCGGACAATAATCGGGCTCTCCGCCGCGTTATTGGTTACGCAGTGTTCACCTAGCAGTTACTGTACTCTTAGCAGCGTTTACAAAAGCTTTCGTCCACAACGAGACCCGAACAGTCCGCAGAACGAGCGCATATGCATGTGTCGTGTGGCGGATGACGCAGATGAACCATTTTAAGTGTTCAGTGAAATTGCGTAAGGTAGCATGACGAAGCGGAGCGACGACGAACGCTTTGCAGGTCAGTGACGGTTGGGCAGTGCTCCTGCTTGTGGCAATGGACGAAACTGTTGGGCCCAGCAAGACGCAATGAGGACCATGTGCCCATACGTAGTTTCGTGTTCGGTATGTGTCAGTAACAACTTGCAGGTGCGCAATAAAACACCTTTTGTGCTCCGCTTGTTATACTCGCCCCCAGCCTTGTAATCTCAACGTTAGAGCAACCGCGTTCAAGTGTCACTTACACCGTGCTCAAAGTCACCACGGTCGCAGAATGCTGACGCCGGTGAGTTTCACGCGGAACACGGGCACAGTGGCCGGACGCTGCGTCGGCCTCGTGTCGGAATGCAACCGTAGAAGAAGGCCCACGACCGATCGTGTTGTCTGTACAGTTGCTGAATTAATGACGTGAAAACACGCCGTTGTCAGTGCATCTAGCACGCGTTCTCTTGTACTTGCATCGTTGTCGGCGAGCCGTTACTCGCTGTTAATACTCGGACGAAATGATTTCGCTGAAGGTTTCGCACTGGCCCAAAGTGTTGAGCTCCTGTTCCATTAGTTTCGGATCGTCCCGGACACGTGTGCTGCGCAGCCCACGTGCTTTCCTAGCCGGAGAGTAAGTCGCGCATTCTGCTTTACATTCGAACGTAAACAAGAGAGGAGAATTCGCCCAGTCAAGAGGCTGACTTCCGGCTTCACGACGGCTCCAACGAGTGACGTCAGGGCCTCTCCTAAGTTTTTGCTTCCTCCATGACCCACAGCTGTTGCAATGGGAGAAGGAGTGAGAGTGGAGATATAACACCTGCCAGCGCGCGCCGCCGCCACCGGATGCCTGACATGACCCGACCAGGAATTGCCTTTACATTCAAAAGCTCAAGGCCATAACGCGCACTGACGAATGGTCGTAGCTCCCTGTTCTCTTTTCATACTCCTCCCTTCATAGATTTCTGCGTGCTGACTGACAAGAAAAGAGAGATAGAAAGCGGTATATAGTCTTTTGTTCGTTTTCGCTCATTGCTTTGCTGTATCAGTAGTTTGTGTCTTTTTTTTTCGGCGAAACCCACTAATTCTGTCCAAAGGGGCAAAACATGTTACATTCACTCATCTTTTGAATGTTTTCAAGTAGAACTCTTCTAGATCTTTTTTTTTGAAGCAGTGTTTTTATTATAAGTCATTCCTGTTGTTTTCTACCCTTATAAAATTTAATATCAAATGTATATATATGTACCCACCCCTGCCTACGACTTTGCATATAAGTCGGCAGTATTGACTAAATAAAGCTAGTGGCAGAACACTGTTCCCAGACGTTTCTGCGGCAGTTGATTCGCGATGCAATGAGCCCCTTCAAGGCAAAGCATTCAATCATTAGAGAAAAAGTATTGCAGTATTTCTTTAAAATAGCATGACGTTCTTCAATTGCAAAAAAACAGACAAAATTGACGGTAAAAGTCTCGGAAGGTCGTATACCAGCTTGTCATGGCATTGGATTATGTACGGAAATAAATCGCGTTTATGGAGTGCACCTCCAAAGGTCACTGCCAACGCAATGCAAACTTTATTCGGGCAAGCACCATATCGTTTTTAAAGGATTGATCAAATTATCTTCAGTAGAAAATATCTCATAAAGCGAATGGTACGGTATTCCTCGTGACAAACCATAATCTTTTACTCACAGGCGGATCCTGGCACTTTTACAGAGGGTTTCACATGAGCCCACCGATCAGTTCATGGCATATTTCAATATTCCGTGCAAGCGCAGCTACAGTATACCCCGCTAACAGTAATCGATTTCAGGGACTGAAATAATGATTATCTGCAACCAGAGATTTTCGAGGGGGCTGTACTGCCAAAACAAAATTCATTTTATAAAGACAAATGCAGAAAAATGGTCGCCTAAGAAAAGTCGAATTTCAATAGTGCGGGTTATATAACCTTGACCAAAACAGCAGGTGACAATTTACTTGCAACAACTTTTGTTTTTTGTTTTGACTTCGTTTGAGTTTCAGATGCTATATTCTTGTCAAGTTATGTTACACACCAACCCCAGGTGCTCACAGTCTACAGTATAACAAAGAACAGCTTAATGAAGGAACAAGGCGACGCTAGCCTGAAGGCGTTGCACTCACTTCAAATACTTGACAGCATTCACCGCGCTCATCTTGAAGAGGCCTTCAAACTCATCACGAGCCCACTGCGAAAGAAAGAGTGAACGATCGTCTTTGTTTAATCAGTTTTCTTTTCTTTTTTTGCTTCTTGATATTTTGTAGAGCTGTTTACGACCCGAAAGTGCCTGCTTACAGCGGTCGCGCGAAATGTTCAGAGAAATTAGAACTACGATCGATATAGGGGATGTCGCTTCGGCAAAGAAATTAAGGACGCGCTTCCATTAGAGTGTTTTTTTCTACTCTTTGCATTTTTTCTACTCTTGCCTTGCATGTGTACACGACATATAAGAGATCTTTTTAATTAGGTATGAAATAGGTTTCAGCTTTCGTTGTCGACAGCCTCCTAGTTATCTTGTGCCTAAAGCCAGCGCTGTTATTAGGGCACCCCAAAGAGGTTATCTGAACATTGTTGAGAACTCAAAACGAGACATACTAGCAGTGAGCCAGAATTTTAGATATCTCTAAGTACAGCTTGCTGATTCGCCAAAAAATAGTAGTAGTCCACCTCATCATTGGAATCAGCAGGTCATACAACATGGATGATGATTGTGGCGTAGAACCGAGTATACAGCCCTCTTGCACGAGAGATTACCGGCATTAATTCATGAGAAGAATTTATCACTGTCAACATATTTATAGTGTTTCACTTTAATGTGTCTCGAAGGGTGAAGCGTTCGTACCTCCAGCGTGTGCTCTATTCTGTAGGGAAAGTGCTTGATGGTGCACACGGCCACAGCCGTCTCGGGTGGATCCTGGGAGCACGAGTAGGACTCGGTCAGGAACGGGACAACCACCTGAACGTTGCCCTTGGTGCCCAGGGTGCCCGAATCGATTAGCGGCTTGCAGTAGTACACGCAACGCCGATCTATGTAGTGACCTGCGCGTCGTTTTGGAAGCATGAATAACCGCATACGCTGTCATCGCCTGCTGGTCGCGTGTCACTGTAAACCATACCCTGGAGGGACTCGAGCGCGCAAGATGTCTTAAGGGAGGCATAGCGTGGTAACCTTAGCTCTTTTAAAAGGAAATGTTTCAATAGAAATGAAGCTGTGCCCACTGGTTAACATGTCCCGGGGGGGGGGGGGCGAAAAGTTTCAAAAAGGAAATCTAAAGCTTTGCTTCCCACCCCTTTTTCTTTCTTTTTCATGGAAGCGTAATGAAAGTGTCCTTGCCACCATGTCTTCATTATGCCACCAAGTGATGCCATGTATTGCCTTTTTGTATTTTGCTTTCCTTCGCAAAGTATTACTCCATGTTTTGTACCAGCCTGTTACCCACTCCTGCCATAGCCCTTACGGGTTGCAGTATGTAAAAATAAATAAATAAATAAATAAATAAATAATAAATATTTAAAAGCCTGCGTCCGCTTCATCCCCCAGTAAACAGCATCAGAGCCCTGCGATCTTGTGAAGATCGTGTCACTGGTAAAATGACTACTTACTAAAGAGGCGCATAGCCCAAGTAAATACCCAGTATTCAGACGATTCTACTCACGCCCTTCGATGTTGTCAAGCGCGCTGGCCACACCATTCAGGCCCTCGAAGAAGCTGTCGTTGAAGACGCTCTCCGTCTCTGGACCAACCCTGTCTTCGTGCGAAATGACGTTGATTTCCGGATTCATTCGCGCCACAGCTTCCGCGGCGACGGTCGATTTCATACGCTGCGTGTGGTTTGACAGGAAAAAAGAAATTCGGCCAGTTTCCCGTCACGAGCACCCTGAGATAGTGAAGCGGCAAGCGCGCTACTTAATGTGATTAGCTAGAGAGACCCCAGATGCACCTCATCATGATTACCATCAGCTCCATCATGGTCATTTTGTTTATTCGTCAGGTGCAATAGTTGTCCCAGCAAGCGGTGTTACTATCAGCTTTAGGACTGGCCACTCCACGGCATCTATAGCAGCGGAACTAGCTGCTTTGCGCACTGCACTTTGTGTGGTCAATCGGGAATCACCGCAACAATGGTCGATTTTCAGCGACTCAAGGGCTGCCCTACAATCTGTGCTCGCAGCACTGCGTCGCGGGCCGTACGAACAGTTTGTTTTCGAAATTCGATGCCTTCTCCACACAACACACGAGAAAGGGCATCAAGTGAAAGGTCTGCCAAGTCACTGCGGCGTCACAGGGAACGAACATGCCAATACTTCCGCGCGGGCAGCTCTTGAAGGAACACGAGAAGAAGCCATACTACTTTCGCGGACCGATGCTGCCAGTAATCTTCGACGACTTGCCCTTGAAATCCCGTTTTCACTATGGTGCCCACCAAGCAATGAGACGAATCGTCAACGCCACTTGTCCTCTTTGATGGCTTTCCGCATGCCCTCTGAGCTCTACTGAACAGAAGCCATCCTTCTTCATCGCTTATGGCTAGGACTGGCATTTACAAAATCTTATTCGATTGTCATAGAAGTGGCCGACAACGCTCTCTGCGATGCCTGTCGTTGCGAAGAGACGCCACACCACATCCTGTGCGACTGTCCGTTGTATGACATCCAGAGACAGTCACTGGCGTCCGTTCTTGCGCGCATCGACAACAGCCAAATGTCTGGACACTATTTTTTCAAGTTACCGAAAGAAGACATTACAACAGCAAGCGACAAAAGCTCTGTTGAAATTCCTGCGCGACACAGACTTGAACAAGCGGCTGTAACAGCTATGTCACACACCGCGAAAGACAAGACTGGACTATGACTGAGTGTGCGCGCGTGTGCTGCCGCGTGCGCTGTGTTTAACTCTCTTCCCTCTCTCCTCTCTAGTTTTCATCTCCCTCATCCCCCTCCCATGCACAGGGTAGCAAACCGGCTGCCTATAGGCTGGTTAACCTCCCTGCCGTTCTTTTCCTCCTATTTTTCTTCTTTGTTTTATCTGCTTATTCCATTCTCCCTGTAGTCACATGACTTGCGCGATGATTACCTCGTTTTCCTACTCCTACGAATATAAGAATAACTACTACAATTACTACAAATATTCAAAATACCACAGCTTACACTACTGCAACTACTGCCGCTACAACTACTCCTACTCCTACTCCTGCTACTATACTCCTACTCCTGCTACTACTACTGCTACTACTGCTGCTGCTACTGCTTCTGCTGCTTCTACTACTACTGCTACTGCTACTACTACTGCTACTACTGATAATACTACTGCTACTACTACTACTACTACTACTACTACTGCTGCTGCTGCTGCTACTACTACTGCTGCTGCTGCTACTACTGCTACTTCTACTGCTGCTGCTGCTACTACTACTGCTGCTGCTACTACTACTACTGCTGCTGCTACTACTACTGCTGCTGCTACTACTACTGCTGCTGCTACTACTGCTACTACTACTACTACTACTAGTACCGCTGCTACTACTACTGCTGCTGCTACTGTTGCTGCTGCTACTGCTACTACTACTGCTGCTGCTGCTACTACTACTACTGCTGCTACTGCTGCTGCTGCTAACTACAGCTGCTGCTGCTACTACTACTGCCGCTGCTACTACTACTGCCACTACTACTACTACTTCTGCTACTTCGACTACTACTACTACTACTTCGACTACTACTACTACTACTTCGACTACTACTACTACTGCTGCTGCTGCTGCTAATACTACTACTACTACTACTAATAACACTACAAGTACTACTACTTCTACTACTACTACTACTCTTAACACGACAACGGCTCGATAGACCAAGGCAGGTTCTGTGCAAAAGATCAGCTACTATTAAAAGTGATAACGGATCCACGAACCAGGGTTATATCCCACCCAAATGCTTTCGCACGAGCTGCCATTTCCTCTCAAGTTTGTAATAGAGCGCGGGCACGCTGTGGGTATGTGACTGGCACTTGACTCTGATTGTAAAGAGAGGGGGGGGGGGGGGTATGAGCAATGGGCGGTCGCTGCATGGTTGTGCTCCCTATCTGCTCACTGCTAGAGGGAGAGACGGCCAATGAAATTGCCTCGATCCTCTCTCTAACAATGCACTGTGTGGGAATACACAAAGCTGCAGTCATATCTCATATGACGTGCAAAAAGATACATAATGAGCTGATACTACGTGGTAATATCGGAGCGCAAGTGATAAGCAGGGACGAAAGCTTGCGGAAAATAGGTCCTCAACCCGCAGTAGTACACGCACCCCCCTTTTCATTTAGTTTTTACCCAACACGCCAATAGATGATGGGAAATGCGTCATATATATATATATATATTAAATGCCCACAATATATATATATATATATATATATATATATATATATATATATATATATATATATTGTTACACGCAAGAAGTACACGAAAAGGTTGAAAAAACAGGCGAGCCTGGATGGTTCGCGTTTACTTCCACAGGGGTCTCGAGACAGCACACCCAACGTCGTCTTCCTTCTTCACCTTTTGTCTGAATGTTCATTCGCGCTGTATGCGCCGTGCATTGCAACCGCTCGTGACATTTCCCCGTTGGCAGACGAAGCCCCGCCGGGCGAGTCACTCAGTGGTTCGTGCATTGCATAGCTTCATGCGAGCGACGTGCGCCACTTCTGTTTTAGCCGAGCGCCGTCCAGTGCTTGTGAGCCGTGCTATGCGGTAGTTGACCTCACTGAGGCGTTCGAGGATAACGTAGGGCCCGACATAGTGAGCGAGAAATTCTGGTACAGGCCACGTTTCCGTAAAGGCGTCCAGAGCCACACCTGATCTCCAGGATTGAAGTGAACATGTCGGTGACGGTCGTCATAGCGGATCTTTGACCGTTCTTGCGAGGTGACGGTGCGTAGCCGAGCGAGGCGTCGCGCTTCTTCTGCTCTACAGAGAATCTCGTTGATCGGCTCACTGTGATGAGCAGAGTAGGGAAGCATAGTGTCAAGATTATAGCGTGGTGGACGAGCATAAAGGAGAAAGAAAGGTGAGTAACCAGTGGTCTCATGTCTTGCGGTGTTGAAAGCATAGGTGATGAAAGGCAAAATTGTGTCCCAGTTTTTGTGCGCGGAGTCGATGTACATGGACAGCATGTTGGCAAGCGTTCGGTTCGTGCGTTCCACTAGACCATTAGTCTGTGGATGGTATGGAGTGGAATGGCGGAAGCTTGATGAGCACAGACGAAGGGTCTCTTCGACAACATCCGCGGTAAATTGCCGCCCACGGTCGCTGATTACGATGCGAGGAGGTCCGTGTCTGAGGATAACTTGAAACAGCAAGAAGATGGAAACGTCTTTTGCTGTGGCCGACGGCAGTGCTGCCGTCTCACAATAACGGGTTAAGTGGTCTACGCAAACGATGACCCAACGATTGCCGTCTGTGGATCGCGGAAAAAGGGCCCAGAAGATCTATACCAACTTGCTCAAAGGGGGTGCTAGGAGGCGAAACAGGCTGAAGGCGACCAGACGGCGCGTCAGTTGGTCGCTTGTAACGCTGACATTGGGTGCAGCTGGCGACGTACCGTTCGGTATCATTGCGCATCCGGGGCCAATAAAAGCGTTCCTGAGCACGGTAGAGTGTTCTTGTGCATCCAAGATGTCCGGAAGTTGGTTCGTCGTGCATGGCAGATAATACGTGACTGCGAAGGCTCTTGGGGACAACCAAAAGGTAGCGCGCACCGGTAGCCGAGAAGTTCGTCTTATATAGGGCGCCGTCACGTAAGCGAAAACGATTGTCTGCAGCGGACTCCCGCGCGGCCGCGAATAGCGGCTGTAAGCTGTCGTCTTTCCTCTGCTCTGATATGAAGGTATCCATATCCGGAAATCCCGTGGACACAAAAGCGATGTATTCATCAAAGTTGTCCGCGTCACATTCAGTCGTTGGGAGTGGCAGGCGAGAGAGACAATCAGCATCAGCGTGTCGCCGGCCGCTCTTGTAGGAAACAACGAAATCATACTCCTGCAGACGGAGCGCCCAGCGTGCTAGTCGACCAGAGGGATCCCGAAGATTCACAAGCCAGCATAGAGAGTGATGATCCGTGACGACAGTAAAGGGGCGCCCGTAGAGATACGATCGAAACCGTTGCACAGCGAAGACGACCGCCAGACACTCTTGTTCGGTGACAGTGTAGTTGCGCTCGGGGCGACTCAATGAGCGGCTAGCGTACGATATCACATGCTCGCTGTCGCCGACACGCTGAACTAGTACGGCGCCAATGCCAACACCACTAGCATCGGTATGAACTTCTGTCGGTGATGACGGATTGAAGTGGCGAAGAATAGGCTGGGACGTCAACAGTAGCTTTAGCTGCCGAAACGATGAGTCGCATTCCGAGCTCCACTCGAAAGGAACACCTTTTTGGAGAAGGCATGTGAGCGGATGAGCTATGTCAGCAAATTTGGGAATGAAACGGCGAAAGTAGGAGCATAACCCTAAAAACTTCGTAGCTGCTTCACAGAGCGAGGTGCCTCGAATGCCTCCACAGCTGTTGTCTTTTGTGGATCTGGTCGTATACCTTCTTTGTCGATCAGGTGTCCCAGCACAAGTGTCTGTCGTTCACCAAAATGGCACTTTTTAGAATTAAGCACAAGGCCGGCCTTCCTCAAGCAGTTCAGTACCAAGTCCAGGCGCTCGTTATGCTCACGAAATGTTCGGCCGAAGATCACAACGTCGTCTAGGTAGCACATACAAACTTCCCACTTCAAACCGCGAAGTATAGTGTCCATGAACCTTTCAAACGTTGCGGGGGCGTTACAAAGCCCGAAAGGCATCACGTTGAATTCAAATAGTCCATCGGGCGTTACAAAAGCGGTCTTCTCTCTGTCATCCGGGTGCATAGGGATTTGCCAGTAACCTGATCGTAATCCACAGAAGAGAAGTAAGAAGCCGCAAAGAGGCAATCGATGGCGTCGTCAATTCGTGGGAGTGGGTATACGTCTTTCCTAGTAACGGCATTTAGGCGACGGTAATCGACACAGAATCGCCACGTGCCGTCTTTCTTCTTCACCAGTATCACTGGAGCTGCCCAAGGGCTAGACGATTCCCGAATTACTCCTTTACCCATCATTTCTTCGACTTGAGCGCTGATGATCTTTCGCTCCGCAGAGGACACACGATATGGTTTTTGACGAATCGGTTCAGCGGATCCTGTGTTGATGCGATGGCGAGTACGGGATGCAGGAATCGATGTGGGGCCGTCGTGCTGTGCAAAGTCGAATATTGAAGAGTGTTTCGAGAGCAGGGCCATCAAAACACGACGTTCATGGTCACTGAGCGATGTAGCTACCATTCCGAGCATGTGTTCGTTTGCGGTGTGCGAGACACTGGTTTGTGCTGTATCCGGTAGTTCTGTAAGCACTGCCATAGGTATAAATGACTCTCCCTGAAACGTAGCAAGTTTTAGGCCTTGAGACAGCACTACGGCTTCAGTGGAGCAATTTAGCGTCCATAGCCCCGCGCATCCATCGGTAACTGAAACCATACAATACGGAACCAACACATTTTTCTTAAGACAGTTTCTATGGACCGGTTCCACCGCAACATCGAACGAAGTACTAACAGAAGACGAACAAACAACAGGAACGCGCATCGCGGATAAAGCGGGCACAACAGTGTCTTCAGAAACACAAAACACACTCTCTTGCTGGGATGATTCTTCTAAGAGCGCAGAGGACACACTTCCGCAAATACTGAGTTCTCCTGTTCGGCAGTCAACATTGGCGCCACACAATTTCAAAAAGTCAATGCCGAGAATTACATCGTGTGTGGAACGCGGAAGCACGGTAAACTCAGTGTTAAAGGTTTGACCACCCAAGGAGACATCCACGTTACACACACCACCGGGTATAATGAGTCCCCACTCACTCCACGAAAGCTTGTGCTGTGGTCCCAATGAAACATAACCTTGCGTCCCAGCAGATTTTTGAACACCACACTCATGACAGAAACAGTTGCTCCCGTGTCGACTAAAGCCATGGTAGAAACGCCATCAATAAGTACATTAACCTTATTCTTCAGCATGAAGATAGGTGAGGTATCCGAGTCGGCAGCAAAGATTTTCCAGCGACCTCACCTCCATCGGCCGCGCTGGCTAGTTTCCCGGCGGTGGTGACGCGAAGCGGCGTCGAGGAGATGATGACGTCACACGCCGTCTGGGAGATGGAGATCGAGACGCTCGGAAAGCTGGTGGTGGTGTCAGAGTACGTTCGGAGGCAGGAGAGCGGTAACGGTTTCGATACCTTTCTTGTTCTCCAGAATAGCTGTCCAGAGGGAAGTGACGGCTTCCTTCTTCTCGGAAGTAGCCTTCAAAAGTGGTGTTTCCTGGCCTATTAGTGTCCATTGCACGACCACCGTGTTGCATAAACGATCCCGACTGTCCATTGCTGAATGCCCGACGTCGGTTACAATACCTAGCTATGTGGCCAGGCGTGCCACAGTTGTAACACACGGGCAGAGGGCGAACTTCCGGACGCTGATTGAAATATTCCACAGCGGCCACAGGCTGAGAGTAACTCATCCCCTCCCCTTGGGTGTCGTAGGCAGTGCTGGGTCTTCGTGGGCGAACGTCGCGTGGATGCTGATCAAAACGCCGATCAATCGAGTCGTAATGGCGTTGTTCGGTCTGGCCATAATGCGGGTCGTGTCGGTAGCTGTTACAATCCGCAGCATTCACCGAATGCTGCCAAGTAGCCGGAGGAGATGCGCAGACGGCGTCTCGGAAAGCGACGGAGGCGCAACGCGGCACCGCATAACGCGTTTGTTCTTCGTGCCGCAGGAGCTCCTCACGGACAATCTGCCGAATGGTAGCTGAGAGGTCTGTCTGCGGACTCGCGTCAACGCTGGCCACAGTCGTGACATTGGCTAGCCGTCCAAACTTCGGCGTGATTCGGCGAGTTTTCAGCGCCTCGAATGTGCGGCAGTGCCGAATCACGTCTGATACGGTGTTCAGGTTGTCTTTTCCAATGAGGAAGTTATAGACGTCTTCCGCAATACCTTTTAAAAGGTGTCCCACTTTATCTTCCTCGGTCATTCGAGAGTCGATGGTCTTACACAGCTTGAGAACTTCTTCAATATATGTCGTGCAAGTCTCGCCGATCACCTGAGCTCTCTGAGCTAAAGCTGTTTCCGCTCGTTTCTTCTTAGTGTCCGAGTCGCTAAAGCACTTCTTCATTTCTTCAATAAGACTGCTCCATGTAGTAAGCGTGTCGGCGTGGTTTTCATACCAAACCAGGGCCGTGTCCGTCAAATAAAAAACGACATGCCTGAGCTGGCTGGCCGGGTTCCAGTTGTTGCATTGGCTTACCCTTTCGTAATGGGTCAGCCATTCATCGAAGTCTTCCCCTGGCTTTGCTGAGAACGGCCGTGGCTCTCGGTAATGCTGATACAGCGGTGGTCTTGCCGAGGCATTGCTGAGGGGGTCATTTTGCTCCAGAGACATGTCGGGGCGCGATGGCGAAAGTCCGGCAAGGCGACGGCTTCTACGAAGTTCTGGTGCTGACGGCTCCGTCGTAGGTCGTGGGAGGTACCCAGCACCTCCACCAAATGTTACACGCAAGAAGTACACGAAAAGGTTGAAAAAACAGGCGAGCCTGGATGGTTCGCGTTTACTTCCACAAGGGGTCTCGAGACAGCACACCCAACGTCGTCTTCCTTCTTCACCTTTTGTCTGAATGTTCATTCGCGCTGTATGCGCCGTGCATTGCAACCGCTCGTGACAATATATATATATGGGAAAGAGGTGTATACATAAGGGCTCGTTTTTCCGTGTCTTTACAGAATAATAATGACATCTAACAGACAGTAATGTCAAGGAACGTATAAGGGAAGTTATTAGAACGAATGAAATGTAAATAAGAAGAAAGAAAAGTGGGTGAAAGAATAACTTGCCGTGAGCAGGAAGTCCTGCTCACGGCAAGTTATTCTTTCACCCACACCCTTGCCTGGCTCGTTTAAACATGTAAAACATTTTGTAAGTCGATGCACTTGGCACTTTCCTAATTTATTTGGCGCCCGTTGTGTTTGGTTTATATAAGCCGCAAGGGAACGGTGACTGACCTACAATTAATCAACATATGCTATGTTGGCCCCTGGGCACCGTACACAGCTTCCTGTACTAGATACATCACTCGCCCGATTTTCCATCTTTAAAGATTCGATAAGAGCTTGGAAGAAGATGCGTGTTGCTAAGTCTTAGTATGCGTGCTGCTAAGTGTACCGCAATTCTGGCTTAGCAAGTGCCACGTATATAGTACATTTGCCAGGGGCAAGCACAGTATCCATGACCCCTTCATCCCCCTCCCTAATATTTGTGCTTGCTACCCTTGCCCCCCCCCCCCCCACCGCGCCAAAACTTGCAAATGAAGTCAAAAGACAGCGCTTGAGTTTTGAAGCATCCATGCCTTTCACCTATGGCTCTCAATTGTCTTGCATGAACAAACCCCTCCCCCCTTTCAGATACAAAACTACTGAATCCTCCCGGACGTTAACGATTTCTGCAATGTATCCCACGTCTTGCCTTTCACATTGCCACCTACATAATATAGGTGAGCGCGGCAGTGGGAAATCCAGCTACAATGGTTAGTGTCTGAAAAGCCCGAGAAAGCTGTCGTACTGAGCTGAGCAGACGATCAATATCCTGCAGAGCTTCCTGCATTGGCTGCGTTGCGTAGCTGAATAACTCTACAAGCTCACTGATAAACCATTTCAGTCCCAATATCTCTTGTCGGTTATACGATGATTCGCAGCGTGCGATCGACACACACGTGAAGAAAACGGCGATGCAAACAACTCACACCAATGTCCTCGGTCCGAAAAAGGAATTGCCTGTTAAGGTTGGACCTCTCAACTACGTCCATATCCGTTACATGGATGGAGCCACAGGCTGCTCCAAGACCCATCATGGCGAAATTCTTGAGCAACTCACAGCCGACGGCTCCGGCTCCGACCTGTGCAAAATAAAAGAAGAATCAACACTGAGATATGCAATATCGTCATTGCGTGGCCAACACTCGACAAGCCTGCTGCAGTTTCGACAAAAGGGCTTTTTGTGGGATTATCCATTTCTAGGCGCCGTAACCAACAAAGTGTGCTATTATCCAACAGCAGTGCCGTTCTCTGTTCATCAGTCTCTCTTTGAACAACGAAAGGAGAGATTTTCTAAGGAATCGGTTGTCTTTGGTAGACACAACGGTTATTAAAACTAACAAAGAAGGCATAAAGTATATTATTTCTAGTAATGATCACGCAAATACATGAAGAACACAAGGCAGACTAAACTTGCCGCTGGGAAGGACCGAGCCTCATGATCATCGAATAATGCCGACAAACTGAGCTATTGCACTGGTCATGACCCCACCTAATTCATGCGGTATATGTGTGCATTTAAATCTGGGAGGATAAGTCAGCGTAAGCAGCCATGACAGTGAAATAACGTGCTTCATGGCGCCAGCAGGCAGAAAAACACCCGCTATTGTGGCTAGCAAGTAGTGCTGCTTAACGTTACCACAATTAGTTTAAATCCACATATATGCCCTATAAACTGGACGGCGGGGCTGTCGACCACAGTAGCTAAGCTGGTAGAGCATTGGACGCGGTATTCGAAGGTCGCAAGTTCGGCCGCTGTCAGCGGTGAGTTATCTTTTCTTCCACCTTACTTTCTTCAGATTTTAATCACATCTACTAGAAATAACATTACTTATACTTACCTTGGCTTCTCCGACTGTTACCTTTAATGATTATTGTGTTTTTTGTTATCTTAGAATGGCAAGCTTTTAACGAAAGAGATGTAAAGAGAGAGACAGAGAAAGAAAATAAACTATGCGGTGTTGTGCCACCGACAGGTTCCTCGTTCGGGAGCACGTCTCACGAGATCGAGCCCTGTTTCGACGAACTGTCTCCCCCCCCTCCCAGCGCCGCCTTCTGTGCAGGAGAACCGTGCAGTCCGGGGATAACGTCGTTTCCTCCGCCGGGCCACTTTGCAGTTCCGGGTATGGCTACATCTCCCCCCTCCGAGCCCGAGAACTGGTCCGAGAGAATGGACCAAGGACACTATTTAAGGCCGAGCCGGCCCCATGTTAGAGGATTTTGCCCCAGCCGACGTTGTCGTGCTGGCCGGCTCTGTAAAACGACAACCTGCTACAGTAAACGCTACTTTTGTTGCTGTTTTCCAAACGGATTGCCTCCCTGTTTCACCTTCGGGCTAAGGCTTCATCGAAGTCCGCTCGACGGCTCGCCGCTCTCCGCAACCGCTACCGTCGCGACAGAGCGAAATTCCTAACAGTGGTTGGCAGCTGCGGGATACGCTACCCCTGTCCTCAACGTTTTGCTGCTCTGGGACCCGCTACCCCGATCTCAACGGCTGAAAAGTTGGATCGGATCCCTGCAAACCCGAGGACGACCACCGTGATATGGTTTTGCTGCCCTGGGACCCGCTACGCCGACTTCTACGGCTGGAAAGTTGGAGCGGATCTTGGCAAGCCCGAGGACACCACGACACCACTCGACGGCAACGACCAGATGGCCGAAGTCACCCGCTCTAGTTGGGTGAGTGCCTGACGTTCGTCTTTTGTCGTCAGACCCTGTTAGCACAGAGTAGCCAAGTATGTTCTTTTAGATCTTTAGGTGGCTAGTGCTTGGCTGGTTCTCGACTTGCTTCACGTCGAAGAATATAGCTTCTGAGACAAAGCTATTTCAGAAAGGAACGTGCACGAGTTGCGGTACACAATGGAGAAGCTCAGAGTGAGGGACCTTCTCGATGTTTGTGAGCAGCTGGGTGTTTCTGTTGCTAGGACGAGCCGCAAAGGAAATATTCTTGATGTCATGAGAGCGGAAGGAATAACTGAAGAGGAGGTAGAAGAGGCTATGGAGACAATTAAAGAAAAACAGCGGGAGGCTGAGGAGCGTCAAAAACGCGAGGAGGCTGAGGAGCGTCAAAAACGCGAACGCGAGGAGGCTGAGGAGCGTCGGAAACGCGAAGGCGAGGAGGCTGAGGAGCGAAAAAGGCGAGAAGAGCGTCAACATGCTCTTAGAATGAAAGAGCTGGAACTTGAGCAACTTCGCATAAGATCGGCGCAGTCTAGTTCGCTATCCGTGGCAGACGAAATGCCAAGACAGAAAATCCAAGATTCGATTCTGCCGTTTAGGACGGGTGGAGACATCGCGCTTTTTTTAGTGAACTTTGAGCGCACGTGCGAGAAAATTGGGATAAATGAGGGTGTCCGGTCCCAGAAGCTTCTGTCAGTCATTCCGGGAGAGGCCGCGGAAGTAATCGCACGGTTGTCTAAAGAAGACTCTGACGACTACGCTAAGGTCAAAGCGGCCCTCCTTCGTAAGTACCGCTTGTCTGCCGAGGCATTTCGGCAGCGATTTCGGCAAGCAAAAAGGGGCAGTGAATCATGCACAGAGTTCGTGTACCAGCTTAAGTCTAATTTGAAAGAATGGCTTAGAAGTGCGGATGCTTACGGTAACCACGACAGGGTGATTCATTGTGTGGCCCTCGAGCAATTCTATCGTGTGTTGCCTGAAGATGCCAGACTCTGGCTTCAGGACAGAATGAAGGGAACAGACATTGACAAAGCTGCTGAGCTAGCTGATGAGTATTATACGCGAAGGAATTTCCAGTTGGATCGCGATGATACAAAAGAGAAGAGGGACTCCTCAAGGCGGCTTGCTGCTCAAAATGCAGCACAAAAGATGGCTCCGCCGCGTAACGAATTCAGTCAGGGAGCGACTAACAATGAGAGGGAAAGGAGAAAGCCAGGAGAGGCACCTGAGTCGACAGCAAGTGCGAGGGAACGCGTCGACACCGCTCGAGCTTTTGAATCAAAACGACCAATTGTATGCTACAATTGTAAAAAGGAGGGTCATATCTCATCTAGCTGTAAGCAAAAGTTTGTTTTCGCTGGCATTCGCGAGTCGGACGAGAACTTGAAGTTACTCGAGCCTTACATGCGCGAAATTGTGGTCAACGGAAAGAAATGCCGGGCACTTCGTGATTCAGCTGCGACGATGGACGTAGCACACCCATCTTGCATCTCCCCTGGCGACTATACTGGCGAATGCGCCTGGATCAGACAGGTTGCAGAAGAGCAAAGTGCCTGTTTGCCAATTGCTGCGGTTGTTCTAGAGGGAAGTTTTGGAAAATTGCGCACTGAGGCGGCCGTGAGCCCTAATTTGCCCCAAGATTTTCCGTACCTTTTTTCCAACAAATCAGAGCAGCTCCTTAAAGAAAAGGGCCAGTCATTTTCATCTCCCCTCGCGTGCATGGCACTCACGCGATCGCGGTCCCGCGCTCTCGCGGGGAGACTTGAGGTCTCGGTTTCGAACGAGGAGGCGGACGAGCGTGAGGCAACTCCCCAGGGAGACTCGGGCCAAGAGGCGACTAGTGTATCACCGGACATCGAAGACAGTAGGGCTCCGGATACGGTAATGGCTGCCGAATGCGACGAGCCTGTGGAGGTGGATGAAAGCAGAGCGCTTCAGGAGAGCGTTCAGTCGTCCCTGCTTGGTCCAACATCCACTTGTTGGGAAGAGCTCAGTAAAGTAGACAGAAACACACTCGTCACTGCGCAGGCAAGTGATGATACCATTAAGAATCTGCAGCATAACGGGAAAGAAGGAGTAGCCCGAAAGAACATCTCATTCTACACGAAGGCAGGGCTCATGTATCGAAAGTATCGGGACGCTGAGGGTAGAACGTTCGACCAGCTTCTAGTGCCAGAGAAGTACCGACGACAGTTTTTAGAACTGGCGCACGGAAATGCCTGGGCGGGCCACCTTGGCATCAAGAAAACAAAGGCGAGGCTCGCACAGGATTTCTATTGGCCTGGATGCTGGAAAGATGTAGAAAACTTCGTACGATCGTGCGACACGTGTCAGAGAGTAGGCAAATCTACTGACAAACGGAAGTCCCCGATGAGATTAGTGCCTGTTATCACAGAGCCGTTCCGGAGGCTCGTAATTGATATTGTTGGCCCCCTTCCAGAGTCCCGTTCCGGTTGTCGCTACATTTTAACTGTTTTGTGCGTGGGAACGAAATTTCCCGAAGCGGTTCCGCTGAAAGAGCTCACCTCTCCCTGCACTGTGGACGCACTTTTGTCCATTTTTGCCCGCGTTGGCTTTCCAGCCGAGATTCAGAGTGACAATGGGAGCGTATTTACTAGTTGTCTCACAACAGCGTTTTTTGAACGCTGTGGAATAAAAATAATCCACAGCTCTATAGGACATCCACAGTCTAACCCCGTGGAGAGGATGCATGCTGTACTCAAGCGAGTTCTGAGAGCTCTTTGCTTTGAACATAACAAAGATTGGGAGGCATGCATACCCGCGGCACTGTTCGCCATACGGTCCGCTCCCCACGAGACAACGGGATTCAGTCCCGCCGAGCTTGTCTATGGAAGAAACTTAAGATCTCCATTTCGGCTATTGAGAGACTCGTGGGAAGGATATGAAGAAGACCCACGCGTAGTCAGCTACGTTTTAGATCTGTTGGAAAGACTATCTAAAACCAGAGAGCTAGTTGAGGAAAACATGAAGGCGGCTCAGAGTTTAGCGAAGACTTACTACGATAAGTTGTCCCGGAAGCGCACGTTCAACATCGGCGACCAGGTAATGCTGCTACGACAGTGTAAAAAGAACAAGATGGACATGCAGTGGGAAGGGCCAGCTAAAGTAATGTCCAAGCTTTCAGACACAAACTACGAGGTAAAACTGGGCCGAAAGAAAGGTAAGGTTTACCACAGTAATTTAATGAAGCCTTACATCCAGCGCCATGCCGTGGTTAACATGACACTGAATGCGGCGAACGAAGTGGAGACCGACCTTTCAAGTTTTCCACGTGAGAGCGACGCGCCAGCTAACAGGCTCGTACAGCTTATTGCCGAAGAGCAAAGTCTCACGGAGAGTCAGCGTGATGATCTCACGAAAGTAGTTAGAGACTACGCAGACG